GTCGACTCAAAAGTCACCTTTTCGACTCATGCCGTGCCTTTTGAGTCGACTCAAAAGTCACCTTTTCGACTCATGCCGTGCCTTTTGAGTCGACTCAAAAGTCACCTTTTCGACTCATGCCGTGCCTTTTGAGTCGACTCAAAAGTCACCTTTTCGACTCATGCCGTGCCTTTTGAGTCGACTCAAAAGTCACCTTTTCGACTCATGCCGTGCCTTTTGAGTCGACTCAAAAGTCACCTTTTCGACTCATGCCGTGCCTTTTGAGTCGACTCAAAAGTCACCTTTTCGACTCATGCCGTGCCTTTTGAGTCGACTCAAAAGTCACCTTTTCGACTCATGCCGTGCCTTTTGAGTCGACTCAAAAGTCACCTTTTCGACTCATGCCGTGCCTTTTGAGTCGACTCAAAAGTCACCTTTTCGACTCATGCCGTGCCTTTTGAGTCGACTCAAAAGTCACCTTTTCGACTCATGCCGTGCCTTTTGAGTCGACTCAAAAGTCACCTTTTCGACTCATGCCGTGCCTTTTGAGTCGACTCAAAAGTCACCTTTTCGACTCATGCCGTGCCTTTTGAGTCGACTCAAAAGTCACCTTTTCGACTCATGCCGTGCCTTTTGAGTCGACTCAAAAGTCACCTTTTCGACTCATGCCGTGCCTTTTGAGTCGACTCAAAAGTCACCTTTTCGACTCATGCCGTGCCTTTTGAGTCGACTCAAAAGTCACCTTTTCGACTCATGCCGTGCCTTTTGAGTCGACTCAAAAGTCACCTTTTCGACTCATGCCGTGCCTTTTGAGTCGACTCAAAAGTCACCTTTTCGACTCATGCCGTGCCTTTTGAGTCGACTCAAAAGTCACCTTTTCGACTCATGCCGTGCCTTTTGAGTCGACTCAAAAGTCACCTTTTCGACTCATGCCGTGCCTTTTGAGTCGACTCAAAAGTCACCTTTTCGACTCATGCCGTGCCTTTTGAGTCGACTCAAAAGTCACCTTTTCGACTCATGCCGTGCCTTTTGAGTCGACTCAAAAGTCACCTTTTCGACTCATGCCGTGCCTTTTGAGTCGACTCAAAAGTCACCTTTTCGACTCATGCCGTGCCTTTTGAGTCGACTCAAAAGTCACCTTTTCGACTCATGCCGTGCCTTTTGAGTCGACTCAAAAGTCACCTTTTCGACTCATGCCGTGCCTTTTGAGTCGACTCAAAAGTCACCTTTTCGACTCATGCCGTGCCTTTTGAGTCGACTCAAAAGTCACCTTTTCGACTCATGCCGTGCCTTTTGAGTCGACTCAAAAGTCACCTTTTCGACTCATGCCGTGCCTTTTGAGTCGACTCAAAAGTCACCTTTTCGACTCATGCCGTGCCTTTTGAGTCGACTCAAAAGTCACCTTTTCGACTCATGCCGTGCCTTTTGAGTCGACTCAAAAGTCACCTTTTCGACTCATGCCGTGCCTTTTGAGTCGACTCAAAAGTCACCTTTTCGACTCATGCCGTGCCTTTTGAGTCGACTCAAAAGTCACCTTTTCGACTCATGCCGTGCCTTTTGAGTCGACTCAAAAGTCACCTTTTCGACTCATGCCGTGCCTTTTGAGTCGACTCAAAAGTCACCTTTTCGACTCATGCCGTGCCTTTTGAGTCGACTCAAAAGTCACCTTTTCGACTCATGCCGTGCCTTTTGAGTCGACTCAAAAGTCACCTTTTCGACTCATGCCGTGCCTTTTGAGTCGACTCAAAAGTCACCTTTTCGACTCATGCCGTGCCTTTTGAGTCGACTCAAAAGTCACCTTTTCGACTCATGCCGTGCCTTTTGAGTCGACTCAAAAGTCACCTTTTCGACTCATGCCGTGCCTTTTGAGTCGACTCAAAAGTCACCTTTTCGACTCATGCCGTGCCTTTTGAGTCGACTCAAAAGTCACCTTTTCGACTCATGCCGTGCCTTTTGAGTCGACTCAAAAGTCACCTTTTCGACTCATGCCGTGCCTTTTGAGTCGACTCAAAAGTCACCTTTTCGACTCATGCCGTGCCTTTTGAGTCGACTCAAAAGTCACCTTTTCGACTCATGCCGTGCCTTTTGAGTCGACTCAAAAGTCACCTTTTCGACTCATGCCGTGCCTTTTGAGTCGACTCAAAAGTCACCTTTTCGACTCATGCCGTGCCTTTTGAGTCGACTCAAAAGTCACCTTTTCGACTCATGCCGTGCCTTTTGAGTCGACTCAAAAGTCACCTTTTCGACTCATGCCGTGCCTTTTGAGTCGACTCAAAAGTCACCTTTTCGACTCATGCCGTGCCTTTTGAGTCGACTCAAAAGTCACCTTTTCGACTCATGCCGTGCCTTTTGAGTCGACTCAAAAGTCACCTTTTCGACTCATGCCGTGCCTTTTGAGTCGACTCAAAAGTCACCTTTTCGACTCATGCCGTGCCTTTTGAGTCGACTCAAAAGTCACCTTTTCGACTCATGCCGTGCCTTTTGAGTCGACTCAAAAGTCACCTTTTCGACTCATGCCGTGCCTTTTGAGTCGACTCAAAAGTCACCTTTTCGACTCATGCCGTGCCTTTTGAGTCGACTCAAAAGTCACCTTTTCGACTCATGCCGTGCCTTTTGAGTCGACTCAAAAGTCACCTTTTCGACTCATGCCGTGCCTTTTGAGTCGACTCAAAAGTCACCTTTTCGACTCATGCCGTGCCTTTTGAGTCGACTCAAAAGTCACCTTTTCGACTCATGCCGTGCCTTTTGAGTCGACTCAAAAGTCACCTTTTCGACTCATGCCGTGCCTTTTGAGTCGACTCAAAAGTCACCTTTTCGACTCATGCCGTGCCTTTTGAGTCGACTCAAAAGTCACCTTTTCGACTCATGCCGTGCCTTTTGAGTCGACTCAAAAGTCACCTTTTCGACTCATGCCGTGCCTTTTGAGTCGACTCAAAAGTCACCTTTTCGACTCATGCCGTGCCTTTTGAGTCGACTCAAAAGTCACCTTTTCGACTCATGCCGTGCCTTTTGAGTCGACTCAAAAGTCACCTTTTCGACTCATGCCGTGCCTTTTGAGTCGACTCAAAAGTCACCTTTTCGACTCATGCCGTGCCTTTTGAGTCGACTCAAAAGTCACCTTTTCGACTCATGCCGTGCCTTTTGAGTCGACTCAAAAGTCACCTTTTCGACTCATGCCGTGCCTTTTGAGTCGACTCAAAAGTCACCTTTTCGACTCATGCCGTGCCTTTTGAGTCGACTCAAAAGTCACCTTTTCGACTCATGCCGTGCCTTTTGAGTCGACTCAAAAGTCACCTTTTCGACTCATGCCGTGCCTTTTGAGTCGACTCAAAAGTCACCTTTTCGACTCATGCCGTGCCTTTTGAGTCGACTCAAAAGTCACCTTTTCGACTCATGCCGTGCCTTTTGAGTCGACTCAAAAGTCACCTTTTCGACTCATGCCGTGCCTTTTGAGTCGACTCAAAAGTCACCTTTTCGACTCATGCCGTGCCTTTTGAGTCGACTCAAAAGTCACCTTTTCGACTCATGCCGTGCCTTTTGAGTCGACTCAAAAGTCACCTTTTCGACTCATGCCGTGCCTTTTGAGTCGACTCAAAAGTCACCTTTTCGACTCATGCCGTGCCTTTTGAGTCGACTCAAAAGTCACCTTTTCGACTCATGCCGTGCCTTTTGAGTCGACTCAAAAGTCACCTTTTCGACTCATGCCGTGCCTTTTGAGTCGACTCAAAAGTCACCTTTTCGACTCATGCCGTGCCTTTTGAGTCGACTCAAAAGTCACCTTTTCGACTCATGCCGTGCCTTTTGAGTCGACTCAAAAGTCACCTTTTCGACTCATGCCGTGCCTTTTGAGTCGACTCAAAAGTCACCTTTTCGACTCATGCCGTGCCTTTTGAGTCGACTCAAAAGTCACCTTTTCGACTCATGCCGTGCCTTTTGAGTCGACTCAAAAGTCACCTTTTCGACTCATGCCGTGCCTTTTGAGTCGACTCAAAAGTCACCTTTTCGACTCATGCCGTGCCTTTTGAGTCGACTCAAAAGTCACCTTTTCGACTCATGCCGTGCCTTTTGAGTCGACTCAAAAGTCACCTTTTCGACTCATGCCGTGCCTTTTGAGTCGACTCAAAAGTCACCTTTTCGACTCATGCCGTGCCTTTTGAGTCGACTCAAAAGTCACCTTTTCGACTCATGCCGTGCCTTTTGAGTCGACTCAAAAGTCACCTTTTCGACTCATGCCGTGCCTTTTGAGTCGACTCAAAAGTCACCTTTTCGACTCATGCCGTGCCTTTTGAGTCGACTCAAAAGTCACCTTTTCGACTCATGCCGTGCCTTTTGAGTCGACTCAAAAGTCACCTTTTCGACTCATGCCGTGCCTTTTGAGTCGACTCAAAAGTCACCTTTTCGACTCATGCCGTGCCTTTTGAGTCGACTCAAAAGTCACCTTTTCGACTCATGCCGTGCCTTTTGAGTCGACTCAAAAGTCACCTTTTCGACTCATGCCGTGCCTTTTGAGTCGACTCAAAAGTCACCTTTTCGACTCATGCCGTGCCTTTTGAGTCGACTCAAAAGTCACCTTTTCGACTCATGCCGTGCCTTTTGAGTCGACTCAAAAGTCACCTTTTCGACTCATGCCGTGCCTTTTGAGTCGACTCAAAAGTCACCTTTTCGACTCATGCCGTGCCTTTTGAGTCGACTCAAAAGTCACCTTTTCGACTCATGCCGTGCCTTTTGAGTCGACTCAAAAGTCACCTTTTCGACTCATGCCGTGCCTTTTGAGTCGACTCAAAAGTCACCTTTTCGACTCATGCCGTGCCTTTTGAGTCGACTCAAAAGTCACCTTTTCGACTCATGCCGTGCCTTTTGAGTCGACTCAAAAGTCACCTTTTCGACTCATGCCGTGCCTTTTGAGTCGACTCAAAAGTCACCTTTTCGACTCATGCCGTGCCTTTTGAGTCGACTCAAAAGTCACCTTTTCGACTCATGCCGTGCCTTTTGAGTCGACTCAAAAGTCACCTTTTCGACTCATGCCGTGCGGCCTTTCCTTCCTTTGCCCTCCAGGCCGAGCCGTCTCGCTGCACGTTGTGCTGACACCTGGCAGCGATCCATTGGCTCTCCCCGAGCCTCTGCAGCAGCTGGTGACACAGCACGGACTGGAGCCGGTTGTAACTCAGGTGGGTTACATCCACAATTTCAAGCAGCATAATTCCAATATAACATTAACAACTGTGGGTAGAAATCGGACTTTTGAGGCGCCTCAAAAGCAGCTGGTGACACAGCCTGTTGTAACTTAGGTGGGTCTGCTGTTCCTTGTTCATATTTGACTTTTGAGTTGACTTTTGAGGCGCCTCAAAAGTTGAGTCGACTCAACAGTCAACTTAGGTGGGTCTGCTGTTCATTGTTCATATTTGTTTGCTCCATATCATTCATAGTGTCTGTATTGTTCATTATGCTCGTAATGTGACTCTCTGTGACTTGTATTGTGTGCTGCACGTGGCAGGTGCCGGCCCACGCCCCTCGCACCAAGGAGCGGTGGCAGGAGCAACAGTCAGTCTGGCCCACGTCCTTCCACCCACCGCTGTGCGTGCTGCTACTTTTATTCAACCCGAAACCTCATTCCCGCCCTTGATGTTCGTCTGCCACGCGTTTTGAGGCGCCTCGATAGTTTTCTCTCTACCGGCAATCAAAATCCAAAAGTTCATCTTCGCCCTTCCTGCTGGCTTGGCACGTGGAGGGGTGCATACCACGAAGAATGCAGCCCTTCACAAAACCTCTCGCCTGTTCCTGCTGCTTGCATTTGCAGCTAATCGCTATCCACACCTTTTTTTTTTTTTTTTTTTTTGGGTAGTGTAGCAACCATATTCCAACAGCCCCCCGGGGTTCATCTTGCTGCCCGTTTCTCCCAACAGGCCAGGCAGTGGCGCTGCTGCTCCCCCCTCCATTGTCACACCGGCTACAGCCACATACATCCAGCAATGCTTCCGTGTGATTGTAGAGAAGGCCATGAATGCATGCGAGAGCAGAGCGGGCAGCTTAGCTTGTCCGCATGTGACTATATGTGGAGGGAAGGATGGAGGCAGAGAATCAAGGGGCGAAGGGGGTGGAGGTGGGGAGAGGGAGGAGAGGGTGGAGAAGGGGGAGAATGGGGAAAGAGAGGAGATGCAAGGGGAGGCTGTGGATGAGAGGCGCAAGGAGGAGGGGCATGGGACACGGTATCAGTGCGGTTCATGTGACCACACCGAACCGTTGTGTGTGCAGCATGAGGGGTTGCTGCAGCCATGCTGTGTCGAGGTGCGTCCCTGTTACATCTTCTGGCTTTTTTTCTCACCCTTTCTTTCCCCCCACCGCTTTTCCTTCCAAACCTCTCTGTCCCTCCCTCCCTCCTCCCCCTTTCCGTTCCACATCTTGTTCCCATTCATCCCAATTCATCCCGAGTCACCCCGTTCTCTCTTCCACTTCCCCCCGTTCTCTCTTCCACTTCCCCTCAATCCTCTCCCTCTCACCCCGTTGACTCTCCCTAAACCCCCATTCTTGTTATTTCTCGCTGTCTCTTTTTCATTGGTTCAATATGGCTGTAATCGCCAACCCTAGCAACGGGCTAATCCTTGCTTTTTCTGAACCCATTTCCCCTCCCTCTCACCAACCCCCATCACTCACCATTTCTCGCTGTCTCCTTTTCAGGCATTCAATATGGCTGTTTTTTGAGGCGCCTCAAAAACCCATCACTCACCATTTCTCACTCTCTATTTCTCAGGGGTTCAATATGGCTGTCATCTCCGACCCTAGCAACGGGCAAATTCTCGCTTCCGCTCAAAACCCCGCTGCGTCCACCTCTCCCTCCGGACCCCATTACTGCTATTTCTCACTCTCTATTTCTCAGGGGTTCAATATGGCTGTCATCGCCGACCCTAGCAATGGGCAAATTCTCGCTTCTGCTCAAAACCCCGCTGCGCCCGCTGCTCGGCGAATCAAGAAAACGAGAAGGGCGCACGGCACAACAGCCATGTCCACAACAACGACAACAGGAACCACAGCAACCACAGCAGCAGCCACAGCACCAGTCGCAGCAGCAGCCACCGCAGCAGTTGAAACAGCAACAGCAGCAGCGGCAGGAACAACAGCAACGACGACAACGTGCAGTGAAGCAAAGCGGAATAGCAATCCGTGTGCAAGAAACGATGGCAGGGAGGAGAATCTCGCAAGAGGGAGGTTGGGGCATCCCTTGGGGCATGCGGTGATGGTTGCGATTGCTGCTGCTGCTGCCCGGGACCGAGCACTGTTTCCCAGTGAGGCGGCACAGGACAAAACACTGTTCATGGATGGCGGTGGGGAGGAGTCAAGGGGTGCAGCTTTATCAGAAAGGGGTGGTTCTGAGGCTGCACAGGGGGAGGAGAAAGAGGAGAGAGAAGGGGAGCAGGGGGAAGGGGAGCAGCGAAAGATCGAGCTGGACGGGGAAGGGGAAGAGGTGAGGGAAGCGGGCATGGAGGTGAAGAGAGGTGGCAAATCGCCTCCTTTGAAAAGGCGAAAGGGCAATGATGTGAGTTGTGAAAGTGATAGGAGTGATGGGAGGGATGGGAGGGTGTGAATAGGAAAATAACATGTCATCAACACAATTGAATTGAATATCCCACCCGTGTTGTTTCCTCCTTTCACTTTGCCAACCTGTTTATCACTTTGTCGCACAGTCTTAGTATATATTTTGTTTTCTTTCCCCCCTCCTCTGTATATAACTCTGCTTCTGCACTATTCAACGGTCTTTTTCTTTCTTTCTTTCTTTTTCTTTCCTTTTCTTTTCTTTTCTTCTTTCCGTTTTTTTTTTTTCTTCTTTCCCTTCTTCTTTTTCTCTGCTCTCTGGTGCACAGGTTCAGGGACTAGGCGACCCAGCACGGTCTGCTGTCTCTCCAAATGCACCGCCATGCTCTGCTGTCCGCCCATACCTCTGCACGGGCTTCGATGCCTTCCTGCTGCATGAGCCGTGCATCATGTGAGTGATGGGTGGTGTCACTGGTGTGGGTGGGTGATGCTGGATGAGTCGTTCATTAAGTGAGCTCTCTCCACAGTCGTCTGCTGGTACGCTATGCACCACCTCATGCATTAGCTGGTTGGTTCGGTCTTCAAACTATCTCAAACCGGCATAAAGAGCACCTTCATTTTCTCCTCTCCTCCCCTCTCCCCTCCTCCCAGGTGTGCAATGGCATTGGTGCATCAGCGTGTGCGTCGAGTCTTCTATGCCATTCCCAGTGCGGAAGGAGGAGCGCTGGGCAGCTGCTGGAAGCTGCATGGGGTCAAGTCCCTCAACCACCACTACGAGGTGTTCAGGGTTGACCTCAGTCAACTGGTCAACTGCTAGTTTTGGGGTCACATGGGAGCGCTGGGCAGCTGCTGGAAGCTGCATGGGGTCAAGTCCCTCAACCATCACTATGAAGTGTACAGGGTTGACCTCAGTCAACTGTTTGCCCAGCGACCACTATGAGGTGTTCAGGGTTGACCTGAGTCAACTTGAACTATCACGCAACTGTATTTAGGGTTGACCTGAGTCAACTTTCATATTTTTTCTGAACCCCCTGTTATTCAAAGTGTTTTTTTTCACAACAGGAGGGTGCATGTGTGCAGTGCACCCAACACCAGATTCACAAACAAAGCAGATGAATTACGATTGGTAGATTAGCTATAGCTTTCCCCGGTAGCATACTGTCAGTGTGAGCTAGAGCTGGGAGGCCAACACGCGATGCTTGGTCCGGAGGAAAAAAGCCCAGTGCCGCACCTGAATCAGCACAAGGAAGATACAGAAAAGACAATGCATGCATTAGAGTACCCTAAGAATGACTTCCGAGTCGACTCAAAAGTCTACTCAAAAGTCAAAACTCACCTTTTGAGTCAACTCAAAAGTCAACTGAAAAGTCAGAAGTCACCTTTTGACTCGACTCAAAAGTCAACTCCAAAGTCAAAAGTCGCCTTTCGAGTCGACTCAAATTTCACCCTAAGAATGTTACTTACTTTACTATCTCCTGATGGAGTCACAAAAGTCATTTCGCTTGGTTGCAAGCGCTGGGAAAAGGGAGGTGGGGCCGGTGGGGTGGGGGCCGGTGAAGTGAGGTGCTTACCTGGCCTGCGCCTGTTCTCGTATCTGTGGTGGAAAGCTTGGTTGCAGCGGCCTGCAGCCACGTCAGCCAATCCCGCATGGCGTGCACTGACGTGGCGGGCTGCGATTGGCCGAGGCACACGTCAAGGAGGTAGAGCTTGTGGAGCAGCAGGGGGAGGTCGCATCCGGGGGAGGTGGGCTTGTTGGCGGGATTTGATATGAAGGAGGATATGATCTGATCTGCTGACAGCTGGATGGGCGGCGGAGTGGGAATAACGGCAGGTGACGGTACCTCCCCTTTCTCCTGCGAGAAGGAGGGCAAGAGACAGTGAGTGAGGAAAGGAGAAGGGAAGTTTGGGTTTGGAATGACCTTTCTCAAAGGCAGGTGACGGCACCTCCCCTTTCTCCTGCAAGAGGGGAGGTGAGAGAGAGACAGAGAAGCGGCGGGTTGATGATGACACGTCAAAATTTGGGATGACAGAAGTGTGCGTTGAGTTTTGAGGCATCTAAAAAAACTGAGAGGGGGAGTCAGGGAAGGCGGAAAGGAGGTTGAGAGGACGAGCAGGAGAGGACTAGCGGGAGTGGCACCTTTGAATAAATTTACCATCAGCATCACTTCTTGGAGTCGTGACTCACCATGAGGTGCAGCATGACGGCAGCACAGCGGAGGCGGAAGCGAGAGCAAGCAGGCGAGGCATAAGGGAGGGCGAGGACGAGCGGGAGAGGTGCCTTTGAATAAAATCACCGTCAGAGGCACTCTGTGATTGTGCAACTCACCATGAGTGCAGCACAGCGGAGGCGGAAGCGGGAGCAAGCAAGCAGGCGAGGCATAAGGGAGGGCGAGGACGAGAGGGAGAGGTACCTTTGAAAACACACTCACCATGAGCATCAATTAGTGATTGAATGAACAGCTCACCATGAGATGCAGCATGAGTGCAGCACAACGGAGGCGGAAGCGGGAGCAGGCAGGCGAGGCAGCGGGGAGGGCGAGGACGAGCGGGAGCGCTGCCAGCCACCAGTGCTTGCCAGGTGGCGGAGTGTGATTGGTGGACGGTGCCACATGGGAGACAACGTCGGGAGAAGGCGGTGTGGTCTGCAGGGAGATTGGGTCAGCTGCCATGGCCCTGGAGTGAGAGAGCGACGTATGGGAAGTAGGAGGAAGAAGTCTCAAGTCAACTGCAAGACACAAGGTGCCGCCATGCGAAGGAGGGCATGAGAGCCAGTGTTGAGTGAAGGTGGTGTTGTCCGCACGGAGATTGGATCAGCTGCCATGGCCCTGGAGTGAGAGAGGGTGAGAGAGAGGGGGAGAGAGGGATAGAGAGGGTGAGATAGGGAGGGGAAGGGGAAGGGGAGGACGGAAATCAGAGTCGACTGAAAAACACTCAGGTTGGAGGCAAACCAGTGTTGGGAGAAAGCGGGGTGCGTCCCACGATTTCACTTACCACGAGCTTTGCGACGTCTCAAAACTCGATTTCACTCCACGCATGCACACTCACCCCACACTCACCCCACACTCACCAGAGAAGGAGGTGGGTGAACCGACTCTCGGCGAGAAACCTCTGACAGTCCTTCCCACTGCTGATACAGGTAGCAGTGTGGCTGCTGACGTTACTCATGCTAAAAGCTTTCCTTAGTACTGCCGCTCTTCCAAGCCATGAGTAACGACCTCTGACAGTCCTTCCCACTGCTGATACAGGTAGCAGTGTGGCTGCTGATGCTGTTTGTGGCAAAGGCAGTGAGGACTCTGAGCGCCGCAGTGTGCAGTGGCAGCAGGTGGGAGACCAACCACCCACAGGAGGAAAAACGCACCCTTTCATTCAGCATGAGCACGCAGCACTCACCAGAGAAGGCGGTGAGAAAACTTTTGAGGCTCCTCAAAAGCAGAAACCCACCCGTTCATTCGGCACGCAGCACTCACGAGAGAAGGCGGTGAGAAAAATTATGAGGCGCCTCAAAAGCAGAAACCTACCCATTCATTCGGCACGCAGCACTCACCAGAGAAGGCGGTGTGGAAACTGCTCCTTGGAAAGAAACCCCGGACAACCAGTTTCACTGCTGCTGCAGGTGGCGATGGCAGTGAGGGTTCTGAGCGCTGCAGTGTGCAGCGGCAGCAGGTGGGAGTGGTCCGCCAGGAGGTGAAGCACATGCAGGAAGAGCAGAGGCAGTTGGGCCTGGGGCAGTACAAAGCACAGAGCACTCACCAGAGCAGGCGATGGGCGAAGCGGTCGCCGGTGAGAAACCCCGGAGAGTCCTCCTGACTGCTGCTGCAGGTGGCGATGGCAGTGAGCGTTCTGAGCGCTGCAGTGTGCAGTGGCAGCAGGTGGGAGTGGTCTGCTAGTAGGTGCAGCACGTGCAGGAAGAGCAGCGCCAGGTGGGGCTGGGGCAGTAACGAGGGGTGATTTGTAGGGTTTTGAGACGTCTCAAAACACTCCTCTTTTCTTGTAGGCAAAACTGACTGGCTGATGCATAGTGCAGCGATGGTTTTCAGGAGGAGGTCCGTTTTGCGAAGTCGTGTTGATACTACTTCTTGGATGGACGTTACAGGTCTTGCGGGTTCTTGAGCCGTCTCAGTAGGGGGTTGACTCGATGCCACGGCTTGAATGCACGCGGAGGGTCTTGTGGTTAGCAAGGGCTTTAAGGATGTCGGGGGACTAGGAGGTGCCGTACTGTCAACAGCTCGAGCAGCAGCGGCGGCGGCGGCGGCGGCGGCAGAAGGTGGTGAGTGTGGGTTAGGCGTGTGCGCACTGTATTCCATGGCCACTTGATCTCTCCAGAGGAGAGATGGGGAGAATCCAACGGCCAGCAGAGCTGCTGCCACGTCAGCGTACCCCGGGAGCCAAACAGGAACCAGCGGAGGCAGCAGGGAGGCGGAGTGCGAGGAGGGAGGGGGGGTGAAGGGGAGGTGGAGCGAGGAGGAGGCAGAGGGGAAGGGGGTGTGGGAAGAGCCGATGATAGGGAGGGAGGGAGGAGAGAGGCCCGTGGTTGGGGAGAAGAGGAAAGGCAGAACTTGCTGCAACTCTGTTTGCTGTGCGTCTGCTGCTGACCCTGCACCTTCGGTTGCTGCTGCTGCTGTTGCTGCTTGTGCTTGTGCTCCTGCCCCTGCTTCTGATGCTGATGGCGATGGGGCGAGAGCAAAGTCACAGAGCAGGGAGCAGGCTGCAGTGTCGACTTGATCGCTTCTGGATACCACCACTGGGCAAGGAAGGGGATGGGGAGAAGGAAGGGGTCAAGGCTGTTACTGAGTCATCTGAAAAGTGACCCTGCTTCTGATGCTGGTCGCGATGGTGGTCACATGGGCAAACTTTCACACATCGGCAAGCAAGGAGTATGTATTCGCTCAGGAGCAAGGAGTATGTATTCGCTCAGGAGCACGTATTTACTCACTCTCTGCAAAGACTCGCCTCAGGAGCGCCCCACTGACTCTTGAACAGGCAGACAGCTCCCCCCGCTCATCCTTCTTCCCCCCCTTCGCCGCTTCAGCTCCCTCCCCTTTCGTCCCCTTCTTCCCTCGCCCCTCCTCCTCTCCATCCCCCCTCTTTCCTTCTGTGACTCTTTTCAACTGTTGCACGCTTTTCGCTCGTAGCAAAGTCGGCAGAAGGCCAGAAGCGAGGAGGGGTGAGAACTTCTTTGGGGGAAGGAGAGCGAGGTCGGCTCCAAGAGGCACAGCAGGATCCAATCTGGGTACTGGTGCCGCTGTTGCCAGCTCTGCGACTGGTGCTGCTGCTGTCTGTTCTTCTGGAGCTCCTGCTCCTGCTGCCTGTTCTGCTGCTCCTGCTGCCTGTTCTGCTGCTCCTGCTGCCTGTTCTGCTGCTCCTGCTGCCTGTTCTGCTGCTCCTGCTGCCTGTTCTGCTGCTCCTGCTGCCTGTTCTGCTGCTCCTGCTGCCTGTTCTGCTGCTCCTGCTGCCTGTTCTGCTGCTCCTGTTGCCTGTTCTGCTGCTCCTGCTGCCTGTTCTGCTGCTCCTGCTGCCTGTTCTGCTGCTCCTGCTGCCTGTTCTGCTGCTCCTGCTGCCTGTTCTGCTGCTCCTGCTGCCTGTTCTGCTGCTCCTGCTGCCTGTTCTGCTGCTCCTGCTGCCTGTTCTGCTGCTCCTGCTGCCGCCTCTTGTGTCTCTGCCAGGCCCCCAGCCCCTGCTGCTGTCGCTGTGCCTGTGCTTGTGCCAGGCTCACATTGCTCTTGGAATCTGCGAAGATAGCGAGGGTTCACGTGACCAGTGAACACCTGTTAGTGGAGGGGTTAAGAAGAGGCACGAAGGGAGATATGAGTGTGTGATGCTCCTAAGGCTATAATGCTCCTGTGCCTGTGCCTGTGCCTGTGCCTGTGCCTGGCTCACACAGGTCTAGGAATCTGCGAAGATAGCGAGGGTTCACGTGACCAGTGAACACCTCTTAGTGGAGGGGTTAAGAAGAGGCACGAAGGGAGATATGAGTATGTGATGCTCCTAAGGCTAAAATGCTGCTGTGCCTGTGCCTGTGCCTGTGCCTGGCTCACACAGGTCTAGGAATCTGCGAAGATAGCGAGGGTTCACGTGACCAGTGAACACCTCTTAGTGGAGGGGTTAAGAAGAGGCACGAAGGGAGATATGAGTATGTGATGCTCCTAAGGCTAAAATGCTGCTGTGCCTGTGCCTGTGCCTGTGCCTGGCTCACACAGGTCTAGGAATCTGCGAAGATAGCGAGGGTTCACGTGACCAGTGAACACCTCTTAGTGGAGGGGTTAAGAAGAGGCATGAAGGGAGGTATGCAGGGATTTACTGGAATACTGAGGGGTATGTAGGAGCATGAGAAGCATCGTAATGCAAACAAGGAGGCATGGTGATCAGACCTGATGACTTTTGAGTCGACTCAAAAGTCACCTCGTAAACAAGGAGGCATGGTGATCAGACCTCCTTGCTTACCCTCTGATTCATTTGCGCACACCCTTATGATCAAGCCACACCCTCGCATACCCTAGAATCCCCGCATACCCTCAAGATCCTCACATACACCATTATCTAAGTTTTACAGGAGGTTTTTACTGTCTTTCCTTTGCTTTAAGCCTGACTAAGTTTGCTGCTCGCTGAGAATATGTCAGCGAGCAGCAAGCTTAGTCAGGCTTCTGGGCCCAGGGTTTGCTGCTCGCTGAGAATATGTTACAAGATCCTCACATACCCTGGGCCTGGGGGTCATGCACACAAGCGACTTTAGTCGACTCAAGATCCTCCTATACCCTGGGGGTCATGCACACAAGCGACTTTAGAAGACTCAAGATCCTCCCATACCCTGGGGGTCATGCACACAAGCGACTTTAGTCGACTCAAGATCCTCCCATACCCTGGGGGTCATGCACACAAGCACTGTAGCTGACTTCTGAGACGTCTCAAATGATCCTCCCATACCCTGGGGGTCATGCACACAAGCGACTTTAGTCGACTCAAGATCCTCCTATACCCTGGGGGTCATGCACACAAGCGACTTTAGAAGACTCAAGATCCTCCCATACCCTGGGGGTCATGCACACAAGCGACTTTAGTCGACTCAAGATCCTCCCATACCCTGGGGGTCATGCACACAAGCACTGTAGCTGACTTCTGAGACGTCTCAAATGATCCTCCCATACCCTGGGGGTCATGCACACAAGCGACTTTAGTCGACTCAAGATCCTCCCATACCCTGGGGGTCATGCACACAAGCACTGTAGCTGACTTCTGAGACGTCTCAAATGATCCTCCCATACCCTGGGGGTCATGCACACAAGCGACTTTAGTCGACTCAAGATCCTCCCATACCCTGGGGGTCATGCACACAAGCACTGTAGCTGACTTCTGAGACGTCTCAAATGATCCTCCCATACCCTGGGGGTCATGCACACAAGCGACTTTAGTCGACTCAAGATCCTCCCATACCCTGGGGGTCATGCACACAAGCACTGTAGCTGACTTCTGAGACGTCTCAAATGATCCTCCCATACCCTGGGGGTCATGCACACAAGCGACTTTAGTCGACTCAAGATCCTCCCATACCCTGGGGGTCATGCACACAAGCACTGTAGCTGACTTCTGAGACGTCTCAAATGATCCTCCCATACCCTGGGGGTCATGCACACAAGCACTGTAGCTGCGGATGACACGGAAGGGGACGGAATGACACAAAACAACTCCATGGGATTCACATACATCGTAGTCAAGTCTCGGTGCCACATACCCTGGGATTCACGCACACAAGCACTGTTGCAGCAGAGGAGGCGGACGAGGACGGAACTGCAGGAAGCAGCTCCCCGCCCTCTCCTCCTCTTCCTTCTCCTTCTTCTCCTTCTTTCTCCCCTCCAGCAGCAGCAGCAGCACCAGCAGCGGAAGCAGCAGCAGCGGTTGAGGAGGCATGGTGGAGAGCAATCAGATGGTCACGGAGAGGCAAGCCATGAGCTTCCACCAGCTGAGAGGGGAGGGCACACGGCAAGGAGCACACAGCAGGGAAGAGAGAGAAACTCAGATAAGGTGAGCAGCACGCAGCAGTAACAGCAGCGGTCGAGGAGGCATGGTGGAGAGCAATTAGATAGTCACGGAGGGGCAAGCCATGTGCTTCCACCAGATGAGGGTGGGGGGAGGAGGGCACGGGTGAAGGGGGACAGGGCGGGGCAAGGGGTAACGGGGAGGGGACAGGGCGACCAGCACAGAGGTCGTTTTTGAGGCGCCTCAAAAACGACCTCAATGCACGCGGATTTCATACGAAGAGGATTATTACAGCTTGGGAGTGTTCGTGTAACTTGCAAAGGTAACGGGGAGGGGACAGGGCGACCAGCACAGAGGCAGCAGCAGCGGTCGAGGAGGCATGATGGAGAGCAATTAGATAGTCACGGACAGGCGAGGCATGTGCTTCCACCAGATGAAGGAAGGGGGTGCGGCACAGGGCGGGGAGCACACAGCAGGTAAGAGAGAGAAACTCAGTTAAGGTGAGCAGCACGCAGCAGTAACAACAGCGGTTGAGGAGGCATGGTGGTCACGGAGAGGCGAGGCAATGAGGCGGTCACGGAGAGGCGAGGCATGCCATGCGCCTCCACCAGCTGAAGGAAGAGCATGGGAACGAGGCACAGGGCGGGGGAGTGAGGAGAGGGGGGTTACGGATGGTGATGGGAGTGGGGAGGGAGGGAACACGGCGGACGACAGGTGGGGTGAAGCAAGGGGGGTGATGGGGAATGGCGAGGTGGGAGAGGAGGGGGGGTGAAAGAGGGGTTGTGAATGTGCGTCCCTCTCATGTATCACCACACCACACCACACCACACCACAACACACCACACCACCCACTCATTCCTCCTCCTCATTCCTCCTCCTCATTCCTCCTCCTCATTCCTCCTCCTCATTCCTCCCCTCTCCTCACTCCCTCTCACCTCTCCTCACCACTTGAAGGGAAGGGATAACTCTCATGCACCCCAACCCCATCCCTGCCTCCTTACCTGCTGACAGCTGTCAACTGCCGTCTGAACTTCCTTCAACGCCGCATGCAACACTTTGTGTGTGCTCCTCCCCTCACTCCTCTTCACACATCACCACCGCACCACACCACTCCCCCCTGCCTCCTTACCTGCTGGCAGCTATCCACTGCCGTCTGAACTTCCTTCAACGCCGCATGCAGCGCCCTGTGCTCCTCGTCCCCCTCACTATCCCCCTCATCCCCCTCCCCCGCCTCCACCTTCCACGGCTCCCCCTTCTCCTCCTCCTTGTGCCCCCTCCCCTCCATTCTCGTTCCTCCAAACCCACCCAACCACTCCATCCCCTCCTCCTCCTCCTCCTCCTCACTCATCTCCTCTCTTTTCTCCTCCTCTGCTCTCCTCCCCTCCACTTTTTCTGCCTCCTCTTCCTCTCCCCCCATCTCCTTTCCCTCTCCCACCTTCTCCTCCTCCCCCTCACCCCCGGACCTGCCTCTTCTTCTCCCTGTGCGTCCCCATTTCTCTTTCACTTCCTCATCCTCCCCCTTCTCCCCCTCGGAACCACCACCACCAGTCACCGTGTCATCTGCCCCGTCTCCATCTCCCCCTAAAATTGCACCCCTTACAGCGGCACTCCTCCCTCTTCTCCTGCCGCCAATCGTGGTGCCTGCTGTAGCAGAAGCAGCAGCATCCCTTCCCTTCCCTCTTCCTCTCACGCTCCCTCTTCCTCTCCCTCTTCCTCTCCCTCCATCCTCAACCGTCTCCCTCTCCTCCTCGTTACCCCCGTACCTCCCCTCCAGTTTTCTCTTCCTTCCCTTCTCCCCGCCTTCCCCTCCCCCCTCCACTTCCCCCTCTTCTCCCCCACCCCCAGCCTCCCCCCTCTTTTTCTCCTCTTCCTCTGCTTTCCTAGCAGCAGCAGCTGCAGCCCATTTCGCTTTAAGCTCCTTCGCTTCAAGGGACTCGCGCACCAGAAAATCCAGATCGTATTTGCGACTGAGTGGAAGGGAGTGGGGTGAGCAAGAGAGAAGAATGGACTATTGAGTCGACTCAAAACTGACTTCACAGTCGACTCAAAAGTACGACTGAGTGGAAGGGAGTGGGGTGAGCAAGAGAGAAGAATGAAGGGACTGACTGAGAAACAGCAACAGCAGCACTTCGCTGAAATTTTAGCTGCTCCAGATTCTATTCTACACCGATGTGGAAATGGAAGAGGAAGAAGACGAAGAATAAGAAGAAGAAAAGGGGGTGAGCGAGAGGTTCTATAAATTATTAGGTGAAACCGGTGTAAAGCCAACCCCCAATGCTGCTAAGCAGATTGACGCATCCGAACCTAAGAGCTTCGGGGCACCCGGACCTGCGAGCCTTGGGAGCAACCGTGGACCCGTCGCCTGCGTCAGACTCGCCGCCTCGCTTGCCTCTCGCGCGACCACGCCCGCGACCCCCGCGAGTCCCACGACCCCCCTCCCGAGCGTCCATGTTTGTTTCTGGGACGCGGTTGTCGCCTGGCCGTCGCCTGATCGTCGCCTGGTTGTCGTCTGGTCGCCGCCTGGTCGTCGCCTGGTCGTTGCCTGGCCGTTGACGGGTGGATTTGCGAGTGCTAGCCGAGTGCTAATCGCTAAGCGTAGAATGCGGCGTTCTTGACCTGTGCTGACCTAAGCTTACTAGGCTCAGCTATGGCTTGGCTGCAAGGCTGACTCGGGTGGTGAAAATAACTTCGCGTTGTACTCTTCAAAACGTGCGTCGCTATTGCGCAGGAAACAAAAAGTCGAAGTGAAGCTCTTTGTAGATATGAGAAATATAACACTCACTTTATGATGCTGAGCAGGAAAGTAGGTCAAAAACGACTCCTTTGGCTTTCTGTACAGCGTCGCTTTTTTGTGACTAGAGCTCTATATACGAACAAATCCTCCCGTTTCTCTCATTGAAGCACATTATCCTTTTTATACAATCGCATCTACCTGGCTCAATCAAACCCACAAAAGCCAACTCCTTATACAAGAACACCCCCCATCCCGCAGCTTTTTCCCTTAGATTCCGGAGTTTGCTCGTTATCCTCCCTTCCCCCCACCAGCTTTTTATTCTCTAGGAGGCTGGTCCGTCCTACCGCCAACGTTTGCGGAGCCCATTCGTGGTTTCCCAGCGTCCGTGATCTGAGATCACGGTTCAGCCGTTGCGTTATAAGCGTATTAATAGTCCCTTTGTGTTTCGCTGGTGTTCGACTGGTTTCCCGACCAGTGCAAACTGCGACGAATTGTTCCCACAGATTCGGGACGCGAAAAATGTCGTCGGAAATGTCACCGCCCAATAAGAAGCGTACTTCGGAGCGGCAAATCACGAAGGACGATTTCCAGGAAGACGACAACGAGGAGCCATCAGGATCAAACCCCTGGGCGGGAGGGTTTCAGAAAGCTACTTACGAGGTAATGGCGACTCGACGCATCGTTAAAGCGCGCCGGCCTGCAGGAGGCGCAACCGCGTCTCCCCCGCCCGCCGCTCCCGCAGCCGCTGCGCCGCCGGAAAAACCGGCTCCGGCGGCTGCTGACATGGCAGGCGGGTCCGACGTGGCGGAAGCGAAGGAGCAGGCGGAGGAGGAGGGGACGGAGGAGGTGAGTTCTGGCGGCAAGCGCGCGAAGAAGGCGCGATCCGACGGCGCGGAGGAGGAGAAGGCGGCGGAAGCTTCTGCGAAGGAGGGGGACCAGGCGGGAGAGAAGAAAACGGAAGACGGTAAGGTTAGCGAAGACGCCACAAAAGAGGATACGGCAGCCGCGGAGAAAGAAGGATCGGGGGAAAGCGACAAGCAGGAGGCGAAGGCGGAGGGAGCGAATGGCGCGGGAGCAGCGGCAAGCCCGACTGGGTTCGTGGGTTTCGCCAAGGCGGCTCCAGGGTTCAATCCTTTCCTCTCCTCCACCACCGCCGCGTCTTCCGGCGGAGGTTTCGCCTCGTTCTCCTCTTCCGCCTTCGCGTCCCCCTTTTCCGCCGCTTCCGCCTCCTCCGGTTCCTCCGCGTTCTCATTTACCTTCCCCGCCACCACCTCCGCATCCCCCGCTGCCGGTTCCGCCGCCGCAACCGGCGGCGGGTCGTCGATCTTCCCCGCCGTTTCGAGCATTTTCGGGTCGGGGGCGACAGCCAATGGGAGCAGCGCAAGCGGCGCGATTGGCGCGACTCCGGGCCTGGGTATCGGGTTTGGCAGCAGCAGCGGGGCTGGCAGCGGCGCGCCAGCTGTCACGCTGTCGGCGGTCCACGTGGCGACAGGGGAGGAGAAGGAGCGCGCGGTTTTCGCGGCGGATGCGACGCTGTTCGAATTCGGAGAGGGGGGGAAGTGGAAGGAGCGGGGGAAGGGGGAAGTTCGGCTAAACGTGCAGGCGGAAGAGGAGGGGGAGGGGGAGGGGGAGGAGAAGGGGGATGAGGGGAAGGAGGAGAAGGAAGAAAAGGAAGGGACTGAGACAACGGAGAAGGAAGGGGAGGAGAAGAAGGGAGGAGAGAAAGAGGATAAGGAGGAGGAGAAGAAAGAGGAGGAGACGGATGGGAAAGAGGGAGAGAAGGAAGAGAAGGACACGTCAGCAGAAAAGGCCAAAACAGAGAAGCGGCCAGCTCGGCTGGTCATGCGAGCGAAGGGCAACTTCCGTCTTCTTCTGAACGCGAATCTTTTCCCGGATATGAAAGTCACCCGGATGGATGGGCGGGGAATTTCGTTTGCTTGTGTGAACAGTACCTGTGAGGAGAAGGAGAAGGAGAAGGAGAAAGAGAAGGAGAAGGAAGGGGGTGGTGCAGCAGCAGCAGTTGGTTTGACGATGCTGGCGCTTCGTTTTAAGGACGTGGCTCATACAGAGGAGCTGCTGTCGCTCATTAACGAGTACAAGGGCGGCAAGGGGAAGGATGCTTCCGAGAAAGGTACTGATGCTGCAGAGGCAAAGGAGGAGGCGAAGGAGGAGAGGAAGGAGGAGGAGGCAGCACAAGATAAGGAAGGGAAAGAGGATGAGGAGACAGGGAAGAAAGCTGAGGAGGAGAAGAAAGAGGATGGGGATAAGAAGGAGGAGGAGGGGAAGCAAGAGGAGAAGGCGAGTACGGAGTGAGCAGCAAGGGGAGTGGATTGTGAGAAGGAAAGGATAATTGAGGTGAGTAAGTTAAATCCCTAGCAACGTGTGCAGAAAGTTGAATTTTTTAGGGGGGATGTGCGAGGGCATGCTCTCAAAATGCATGTTCGAGGCATTACCACACACTCCCTGCCATGCACTCACCACCACACACTCGCTGCCACACGCTCCCTACCATGCACACCCCACCACACACTTCGCACAATGCAGGTGCAGGTGCAGTGGTTGGTGGATTCCTCTTTTCACTGCAGTCCTCATGCCTTCCTACTGCGGGCCAAGTCAAGTCACTGCTCTTCACATGCTTGCTGCTCCAAGAATGGAGCCGGGAAGGAAGCACAGAAGGCCCTCTCATCCGTCCCCGCCCGCTCCCTTTTGTCTTCTTCCTCGAGTTCCAAGTCTGCATTTTCTGCGTTATTGGAGAAGGATGGCCTGTCCTAATTCTTGCATTCTTTTTGTCAATTCCGCTACTGTACCAAGCATGGTTGTGTTGTGTTCCAGCCAAACTCTGACGGTCCCGTAGTCGGAAACATTTGTGGTTGCTTCTACCGTACTAGGATATTGTAGTTGTGTAGATCGCCGGACTAAAGCGGGTGTCTCTTATGTAAAGACACATGCATGAAATTGCCCTGGGCTTTTGTAGGCCTCAGAGGATACACTCTGTTTACTGTGCATTCCTGTGCCTGTCCTCTCATGGTGATGCAATACGTACCGGTACCGCATCCTTCGCATGCCATTTGCACAATGAATGAATTGACTACTAGGTAGAAGGTAGGAGTGGCAGAGTGCAGAAGGTGATCCCCCTAGGTAAGTCCATGAGTGGGTTGATGGAATTGTTTTGTTGGAGGGAGACAGGTTCGCAAGCTAGGTTAAAATAATTTCTCTGTAACGCCTGCTTGTTGGTTGGTGGGGATCAACATTTCACTGCCAGTAGTGGCAGTGGCACTGCCAGTAGGCTTGCTGAAGAGGGGTGGGTGGGTGTGTGATGGTTGAATAAGGTAACAATGACATAAACAGGATTATTCCTGCGAATAAATTCAAGTATGGACCAGCATTTTGTTTCACAGCCATTTGCAGAAACCAAGGCTGACGTGGCAGGATGCAACTGGTCTGTTGAAGAGAGGCGGGTCCGTGAGTGGGTTGACCAATGCTGCGAACAGGGCCACTCCCGCCACAAATGCTGCGCATATCACTGCACACAGTAGGGAGGGGGTAGTGTTAAAAAGGGGGTTGTGATAGAGATGGGGTTCTGACAGAGAGAAGTTTGGCCGAGGCAGCAAACAGGGCCACTCCCGCGACAAATGCTGCGAATATCAGTGCAAACGATACGAGTTGTGTTGTGATGGAAAGGGGGGTTCATTACAACGTAGACTGCTTGTGCAATGGATGTTGCACATATTGATGCAAACAGCAGGACAAGGGCTGTTGTGAACGGGGTTGATAACAACAAGACAAGAACAACTCCTGCATTGAATGTCGGGTATGTTAGTGCAAAGTGATAACAACAAGGTGGTACCGTATTTGTGCTGGTGTGTCAGAGCTGCTTGGAAATCGGGGACCCCCAAGGTGTTAGGGCATGTTCCTACGCTCTTATTAGGCAGACCTCTTGTCAGGTTTGCCTGATAGAATTCAATGTGTTTCAGGCCCGCTAAGGTTTTCAGGTGTAGGGAAATTTCAATGTGTTGTGACGCGAGCCTGATAAGAGGTTGGCCTGATAAGGGGCCGTAGGAACATGCCCTTACAAAACGCGTGAGCTGCCACTGACGCCCACAGGTGTGGTGTTGGCTTACCTACCATATTTTAGGGTGTGCCTCGCCCTAGAAATACCGTATCTGTGCCGGTGTGTCAATGCTCCTTGGAAATCAGGCACCCCCATGGCATTGCAGAAGGCGTGAGCTGCCACTGACGCCCACAGACTGCCGGTTCTCAGAATGATGAAGGCAGCAAGGCAGCCAAACACCCACGTGAAGGCCATTTGGAACCCTGAGAGGCAGGGAAGGGATGGGATGGGAAGGGAGCAAGAGAGTGGAGAGAGTGAGAAGAGAGAAAAGGTGTGAGCTGCCACTGCCGCCCACAGACTGCCGGTTCTCAGAATGATGAAGGCAGCAGGCAGCCAAACACCCACGCAAAGGCCATTTGGAACCGTGAACAAAGAGAAGGAATGGGCAGGGGAGAGAGGGATGGGATGGGATGGGATGGGGGAGAGGGTGAGAAGTGGGAGATAGTATGAGCTAGAACTCTCAAGAAATGTTACCAGGGATTTGTTTAGAATTCTCAAGAAATCCCTGCATAGTATGAGCTAGAACTCTCAAGAAATGTTACCAGGGATTTGTTTAGAACTCTCAAGAAATCCCTGCATAGTATGAGCTAGAACTCTCAAGAAATGTTACCAGGGATTTGTTTAGAATTCTCAAGAAATCCCTGCATAGTATGAGCTAGAACTCTCAAGAAATGTTACCAGGGATTTGTTTAGGATTCTCAAGAAATCCCTGCATAGTATGAGCTAGAACTCTCAAGAAATGTTACCAGGGATTTGTTTAGAATTCTCAAGAAATCCCTGCATAGTATGAGCTAGAACTGACGCCCACACAGGCTGCCCGTTCTCAGAATGATGAAGGCAGCGAGGCAGCCAAGCACCCACGTGAAGGCCATTTGGAACCGTGAACAAAGAGAAGGGGTGGGCGGGAGAGAGGGATGGGATGAGATGGGATGGGGGAGAGGGTGAGAAGTGGGAGGCAGAATGATGAAAGCAGTGAGGCAGCCAAGCACCCACGTGAAGGCCATTTGGAACCGTGAACAAAGAGAAGGGGTGGGCGGGAGAGAGGGATGGGATGAGATGGGATGGGGGAGAGGGTGAGAAGTGGGAGGCAGAATGATGAAAGCAGTGAGGCAGCCAAGCACCCACGTGAAGGCAATAGAACATACTTTGAGTTGCTTACAACCAGGTTGGAATAAGCGTGCGTGCAAAGCAGATGAGCGCGCGGGGAACACACCAACCATGGCAAGAGCTTGGGGAAGGGAGCAGCGATGGTAGTGCATTAGGTTCCAGATGTGATGCCCGTGTGCTGCCATGCAGGGGACGAAGGTGGGGGAGGGTAGGGATGGAAAGAGAATGGAGCAGGGTAAGGAAGCTATGACACCCGTGGGAAGGACCTGAGGGAGGGGGGAGCAGCGATGGTAGTGCACTAGGTTCCAGATGTGATGCCCGTGTGCTGCCATGGAAGGGAGGGGTGGGGGGGGGGGGGGGGAAGGGTGAGGATAGAGGAGTGGGGGTTATGAAGCCATGTCTCAGATGACAAGGCAAGGGAGCAGTGATGGTAGTGCATGAGGTTGCAGATGTGATGGCCGTGTGCTGCCATGGGGGAGGTGGGTGTGGGAAGAGTGGGGGTTGGGAGGGAAGCAAGGAGGGGCATTTTGAAAGTAGGATCTCAATTCACTAGGAGCACAAGATGAGTAAGGTGCTGACAACTAAATTTCACAACAAAAAAACAAGAGCACACTTTTGAGTCGACTCAAAAGCAAATTCACTAGGAGGACAAAGATGAGTAAGGTGCTGACAACTGAATTACACAGAACAAAAACACGAGCAGAGACTTTTGAGTCGACTCAAAAGTCACCTCGTTGACAACTGAATCACACAGAACAAAAACACGAACAGAGACGAAATGTGGTGGAAACTAGTGGTGAAGAGAATTCTGAGGCATTTCAAAAGTGGTGTGGAGAGCAGAAAAGAGTAGACATTGTATGAAACAGCACCTAGGCTGAAGAAAAGCGGGCAGATGAAAACCGTGGAGGTGACTGAGAAGCCACCCGCAAGAAGAAGCGGACACAGGGCTGCCCGGAAAACAAACTCCTCGCTGAGAGGAGCCTGTGGGATGGAAGTTATGGTGGAGGAAAGGCAGAAAGTAGGAAAGTAAGTGATGGGAGGAGGGAAGATGAATGGAGAGTGACGGAGGAGAGAAGACAATGGAAGAGCCTTAGCCATATAATTCCTCTTCGCTTCCATTCTCTCACACGAAGCATTATCCACCTCTGCCCCACAATATCTCAACATTTCCCCTTCCACTTTTCACCCATCCACCACATGATTCATTTCTCCTTTGCCCCATCACACGTCTCCCACATTGCCCTTTTTCTCACCACCACCAGGTTGCGAGCATGGAACAGCAGGTCAGTTGGGAGCACTGGTTGCACCAGCAGCGGCTTATATGCACGAGCAGCAGTACCACAACCCCCCCCTTCCCTTTCACCCATCACACGACGCCCCTGTTCTCACCACCACCAGGTTGCGAGCATGGAACAGCAGGTCAGTTGGGAGCACTGGTTGCACCAGCAGGTTTCCTCAGTCTGGACGGAAATCAGCTTTCGAGTGCAAAGGCAGAAGGGAGCTTGACTGCGAGACTCACCCGTCGAGCAGGGAGGAAAGTCGGCCTTAGTGATCCGACGGTTCCGAGTGGAAGGGCCGTTGCCCTGGAGCAGCAATGACTTGGAAGCATGCAGAACAGCACAAAACACGCGTCCCTTCCTTCCCCTGTTTGTTTCACCCGTCACATCTCTCCCACAGTGCCCCTGTTTTCACCACCACCAGGTTGCGGGCGTGGAACAGCAGGTCATCTGTAAACACTGGCTGCACCAGTGGCTTAGATGCATGCGGAACAGCGGCAACACCACACGCACCAACCACACATTCCCCCTTCCCCTTGTTTGATTCACATAACATGTCACCCCATTTCCCCCTGTTCTCACCACCACCAGGTTGCGGGCGTGGGACAGCAGGTCACTCGGTAGCACTGGCAGGAGGAGCGGCTTAGATGCATGCGGAACAACAGCAGCAACAAATCCCTCCCTTTTCCCTTTTACCCGTCACATGTCCCCCTAATTGCCCCTGTTCTCACCACCACCAGGTTGCGGGCGAGGAACAGCAGGTCACTCGGTAGCACTGGCAGCACCAGCGGCTTAGATACATGCGGAACAGCGGCACCAGCACCAGCTGCAACAGCAGCAGCGCCATCGGCACTGGCTAGAGTGGCGTACTGACGATTCTCACGCCTCGCAGCGGCTAGGGCTTGGAGCGAATTCAATGAGGAGAGGGTGAGAGGGCCGAGAAAGAGAAGAGTCACGAGGAGGAGAGGGAAGGCGAGGGACGGAATCTGCAGGTTTAGATGGGCAGAGGAGAGGGAAGGGGAAGGAGGGGATATGGGAGAGGGGAAATGGGAGAGGGGAAATGCCTCGCAGGGGCTAGGGCTTGGAGCGAGTTGAATGCGGAGAGGGTGAGAGGGCCGAGAAAGAGGAGAGCCACGAGGAGGAGAGGGAAGGCGAGGGAGGGGATCTGCAGGTTTTTAGGGGCAGAGGAGAGGCACGGGGAAATGGATGAAGGGAAATGGGGAGGCGAAGTGAGGGAAGGGGAAAAAGGGGAGGGGAAATGGGGGAAGAGAAACGGGGGAGGGGACAGGTGGGAGAGGGAGTGTTTTGCAGTAATTGCGGAGAATAGGCGATTGTGGGAGAGCCTAGGCGCAGAGTTGCACGATCGGAGAGAGAGGTGCGAGTTTTCCGTGTACAGACTTGTTGGAGACCGAATACTGGTATTCAGGAACTATAACTTGGTATGCAGTCATTCAAGGAAAGAAATTGATTAATTGATTGATTACAACAGAAACAGCATGAACCTTATAGGAAACATAGTGACGTGTGCGAGAACGTTCTACGAGAACGTTGTTCATGAAGAACGTTGTTCAGGGAGAACGTGCAAGCACCTACTCTAGTATGCGGTTCCAGGTTGGCACCGCCAGGTGAAATCACCATCATGTGAAAGTACCGTCATGTGTATTTTCTACCTGTTCAGGAGTAGTTGCGCTGGTGTTCGCAACAAACAGTTGCACATACTCGTTTGTGCAATGACGTTACTTCCCTCCAATTCGGTTCAGTGTTGAATAGTGCATACCCAAGTGCACGAATGGAGTCTACTCGGCGAATACCGAAGCTCCGGTATGCGGTATGCGAATCCTCGCTACATCGCATAGGGCTGCTACCCGCGAAACCAGGCGCGTGCAGGGCTTCACATCAACATTAATGGCAATCTCGGCGGCTATACCGGGACGGCTTATGACTTATATCTTTTAATCAAGTGCGATGAAAAAGTGAAGGGGTTGACAACTGACCTTGTAAGCAATAGCAATCTAGAAGTGTAGCTTACCAGGCAGTCAGGTTGCAGAGCTGATTTTTCAGTCCGGCTCAAAAATCACCTCCTTACCAGGTAGTCAGGTTGCAGAGAAAGAAGGCGAGGAACAGAGGGCAGAGGGGCATGGGCGTCGTCCAACTGCAGCACGCCACGTGGCACACAGAGCAGAGGAAGTGGAGTGCAGACAGAATGAAGTGCAGAGCAAGCATATGATACGAGTGATGGGTTTGGAATAGTTGGTATGAGAGGGAGGTTTGAGACGAGGATAGGGAGTGTTTGGTGTTAAGCACGTGGTTAGGTCGGGTCAGCCCTTCATTTCAAGGGGGTAGATTTGAAGAGGGGACAAGCATAATAATGCTAGATTTGACAAGCATAATAATGCTAGATTTGACAAGCATTTCGGGGGGCAACATAACTTCAGATGATGCATAATGAATGCACATATACTTCGAGAGCAATAAAATGCCCAGTGCATAATATTTTTCGACGGGGAATAGGGAGATCACTATCCGAGCACGCTTGCTGGGACATACCAGGCCGTATTTCGAGACAGCCGCGACAATTGCGGCGGACGCCACGCAGGAACCAAGCACGCTCGTGATACGCTGGCACACGACACGTGGGTCGTCGCGATTGGCCGGTGGAGCTCCGCGCAAGATGCGGGGAACCTCCCATACGTAAAGCGAGAGCACGAAGAGGGAGGAGATGAAGGCGGATAGGAGGACGGAGAGAAGCGGGTACATGACTGGAAGCAGGGTAAGGACAAAATGCTAAATCATCTAGCTGATGCACAGACCAGTCCCGTAACCATGTCTCTACAAAGGTTGCTTGCGACTAGCAAAGTAATTTGGATTCGCGACAGAGAGAAGCAATGCGTCCTGCCTATTGTGTTGGGGAGGCAGCCCGCCTACTTCAGTGTAAATGCTTAGCCAGCTCTAATCAGTGAAACATTCCTGCAACGGGGAAACTGCTGAAGGTACTCCCGTGAATTGAGCGGCGGTCGGGAAATACTATGAAAATGGAAACGGAGGTTGGAAATAAATGGAGGCACAGCATAAAAGCCCTGACGAAGGCTGGCGACGATGATCGTAAGCGAAGCTGATCAGGCGATTGGGTCGTGGACCTGGTAAAATGATGGCGAAATCTGATAACAGCCTGACACGAGAAGTTATCGCCTCTGACGAAGATTTCGTGTGTCGTTACTATGTTCCGTTTCCCAGTGTTTGCCCCAGGGGGTATCTGAAATCAAACCAGGTCACAATAATTGTTTCCCTCACTTTCTGGGGCTCGATTCAGCATTTACGGTTTCATTCTCCCACTCTACGCCGCTCCAACCCTTCACTTCCCATTCCGATGCGTGCAACTGGATGCAAGAAACTGGAGCTTAAATAAACCGGACCGTTTAGTTAAGTTCGACCCTGGATGTTCGAACTTGCCACCCAGCAGAACTGCCTCTCTTTCACTCCAACGTAGTGTGGTGCATTCCAGTTGAAAGTTAGCGGCATGAGTTAGAGAAGTCGCGGTTCGGTTAGACCTGTGCCTATTTGGCTCGTTTTCGTTAGATGCTCTCTCTGCGATGGCGAACCTCCATAGAGACGTCCGCGCTATAGAGAAAGACAGGCAAGCAACCTCAAACGCGCCTTCGAACCGCGCCTTAAAGCAGCAGCTATCCTCGTTAGTAGCTTTCGAGTCGGCGTTAAAGCAACAGCTGACCTCGCTTGCTACCGAGACAGCGGCAGTCGCGGCACACGTGGGGAAGGCGACGCGTTCCGTTGTAAGAACCCGCGATATGAGTCGAGGTGCGGAGACGTGACGTGTCAGGATTCGCTGTGAGAGTACCTTCATTGTTAAGCCTTAACTTAGAAATAGGGAGTCCAACGCATGCAAGAATCCGCGTTTTAGTCGCCTCAGCACAGCTCTGTAAGGAGTGATTCAAAAGTACTGAACCGTCATACTTGTGTGTCTACAGTGTGGATAACGACTTGTTACCTTTGTTACCACTCGCTGACTCACTGCTCTGTCTGCTGTTGAGTTCCCTGTGACCGCTCTGACTTGTGTTACCTTCCCTTGTGCTGCGTTGACTGTCGTTGACTGCGTTGACTGGCGTTGACTGGCGTTGACCGGCGTTGACCAGCAACTGGACGAGGCATGCAAGGCCATGGAGAGCCGGAGCAACCTGATGGCAGCCACTGAGGAGGTACGCTGGGATGGAGAGATTTTAGAGAACTTAAAGGACTTCGCTGTACCCTGATGGCATCCAGTGCGGAGGTACGCTGGGAAGGAAAGGCGAGTAGTAGGAGTGGTTTTGCCAACTTCATCATGCCGTGTGAATGTTGAAGTTACTGTAGCTGGTCTTCTGGCATGATTCACACAGAACTTTGAACATGATTTCTCTTGTTTTCCCGTTATTTCTCCCTCTTTCATATCCCCTCCGCCGCTTCCCTCTCCTCCCCCTCATCTGTGCAGTCCATTCAGAAAATGCCAGCTGTCCTCAGCTCTTTGGAGGCCTATCTGGACGAATCCATTGCATGGTGCGTGCGGGAGAGGCGAGGGTGGGAGGAGGTGGGGTTGGTTGTGTGACCGTAGGATTGAGGGATGTAAAAATGGGGGGAAGACGAAAAGGAGACGGAAGGAGAGGTATAGAAACGGGGGGAGAGTTAAGTAGGGGAGAGGAAGGGAGTGGAGGGGTGTGTGGTACTACGGGTTTCAGGAAGACATAAGCAGGAAAAGGCTGAAGGGAGTGGAAGGGGGGAGAATGGGAGGAATAGGGGTCGCGGAAGAGCAGGGAGGTGGGCCTTGCTGGTGTATGTCGGAGGGGGAAGGATTTCCCTGCCGAGGCTTCCATATTGTTTGTTTTCCATTCCCATGACAATCTCTGTAACTGCGTTTCTTGACGTGTCTTGTCAGCAACCCTCAATCTCTTTGTTTCTCACCTTGTTTCGTTTTCCAACCCTCTTGCATGCGCTTGACCAGGCCATGCACTCAACAATGCCACCATGCCACTCCAATTACCATACCAAGAAACCATCTACTGAACCATGACATGCACTTCAAGCCATGTCACAGCTCAATCCTCGTGTCTATCCTAACATTTCTTTACCCATGTCTTCAACCTTACCCTTTTCTGCCCTGTCTTCACCATGCTTCGCTGGCAGTGCATCGGACCTGCTGCATGTGGCCCCGTTCCCGTTGCAACCGCCACCTCAACCATCCCATGTGTCACATGTGTCCCACACACCTCAACCATCCCATGTGTCACATTTGTCCCACACACCTGAACCATCTCAACCTCCGGAGCAATCTCAACCGTCCCACGCATCTCAACCATCAGATATGCCCCTTGATTATAAAATCCCAGCAAGATCCCAATCTCATCACACCCAGCCAATCCAAGTGCTGCAATCCCCACAGTTTCGTCATGCTTCATCGCACCAACCGCAGCAATGGCAGCATGTAGGACAAGGAAATGAATTGTCGGAAGCGTTTCGAAACCAATCACATCAGTCACACCACCCGCAACAATACCAGTAGTTGCTGCCTTGTGTATCCACCTGCTTCAACACGCCTCTTCACTTGCTGTTTTGTTTCCATTTCTGTGTACTGTGAATAATATGCATGTAACCGTGCTTTTCCATCATTAGATACACTATGCATTGGGTTACACTGGCGAATCAAGTGAGTTGAGGGAACACTTTAAGCAATTCTGCGAGTCTGAACATGTTGTCTGCTGTCCACTTAGGACAACATTAACGCGGAATAGAATGTAAAGTATTTTTACTCAACCCCAAACTATATTTCACCAGTGGATATCCACTCTGTTTTAACAGATTCAGTGAAAGGGAGAGCCCACAAAGGAGTATACACTTTCGTGATGGCGGGAAAGTTATTTAAATCTTCCCCGCCGGTTGGCGCATTTGGCGTTCGGAACTGTGTCTTCTGCGCTCTACGGCCACTTATTTCGGCGCGACCCCCGTCATTTTGGCCCCCAATAAAGGGATTCTGCTACCTACGATTGATCCACGTGACAGATCGGAGGGTCTAGTGCCATTCCTTGATTGCGTCGCATCTTCTAGGCCTCAAGAACCCTGGAAAAGCTCGGAGCCACATGCTGGCGCAAATCTGTGGAGGCTGGAAACACCATGCATTTTTTCACTTTATCTGAACGAGTTGCACCAGCAAATGCAGCACCATTGGTTGAGCCAGAATCCTCGACCACAGTTTACTAGACGAGTTACACGAACTTTGGGTAAAATAGTCTGCCTTTCTTAGAAATAGGGTAATGCTTCTGCACCGTCGAGGTGTGCGACGAGCAGTCATCAGAATAGGTAACCAACCAGCATGCGACGGTGCCATTGCCCTTTATAGTGTTTCTTGCGTAAGATCCACCAGTGACGTACAAAGTTGGGATCGAGGGATTTCTCACCTACTCAACCCCGTTGCTAGCATCCCCCTCTCTCACTCCTCGTCACACGAAAATCGTGTACCTCGTGAACATTGTGCCTCTATCCTGTACAGTTTGCTAGATAATTAGTTTATACACTCTTACTATTCTCGACCTAAAGTCCAAAAAGCCCAGCGCAACGGCGTTTGGCATTCTTCTGACAGGTTTGCCAGGGTGGCATGTGGTCTGTGCAACGAGAGCCTCAATCTTTCTGACACCCACCAACAACCACTCGACGCCTTCTGGTTTGGAAAGCATAGGCCTCGAAGTTGCACCAGACTCGGAGCACCAGGAGCTACTAGAACCATCAAACCGATTTGCAACCAGAAATCCGAAGCAAGCTAGTCATAACTCGCTTTCCAGCCACATCCCACATCCCGCTTCTTGCATCCCGCTTTCTCACATCCAACCACATCCTATCCATCATGCATCCTGCATCCCGCATGCGGGGATCATGCCGCTCTCCCCACATCCACATCCCTTCGCGCTATCAAAAACCGCTGAGACGGGCTCATCCACCCTGAAAGATGGGAAATCGGGGATCCGAAGGATCCAAGGTAGCGTGTTTTCGGCAGCCTCGATGGCGGAAACCCGGAATGCCTGAGGAGGGGAATGCACTGCTTACTACCCTCTTACCATGGGCGGTCACGTGACGGCGGAAAAGAATTCGCCCGAGTGACCGTAGAGGAGTCATGATCCGTTCAGCGTGACCCTCCTCCAGTACTATAATATCCATCAGGCTGTTCTCATAGACACAATTCATTTGTTTCTCTTCCGCGACCCATCAATCTCAGCATCTCAGAGTCTCTACTGCTTCTCTCTTTTCTTCAAGAGAAGTCCTCTCAATTGCCATCTTTCTTCAGGACATCCTTCGTTAGCTCGCGGAGACCGCGACCACCAATTCTCTTCGATTCTATAAATATAGTACCCGGCGAGTACCATGTCTCCGCCAAGTACCATGGATCACACCATGCCAATTGGATTCGACGACAACACCCGACGGGATTTGGCAAATTCCACTAAGCACGATCAGAATTCGACGTCAGCAGCGGCAACCGCCGGTGGCGGTTCTCCGTTCTCCCGGCAATCGTGCTACACGCCTGCTTCGCAGCAACACAGATTGTCACCTCCTGCCTGTCCCCAGGCCCCGCGACCATCAGGCCGCGGCCTCAAGAGACACATGCAGCCTACAGAGAACCTCCGGAAACTCTTCAGACCCATCAACTTCGACGGAGTCACGTCTTCATGAGATTGTGGTCTTACAAAGATCGCTGCCAACTCTGAACTTTATGGCGGGTCCCAACTTCATCTGGCTCCTCCCAAGGAGGAACCTGGTGCGATGGTTTTTCATCACGAGCCTAAACTGGGCTCTTCAAGAAGTGGCCCTTTGGATTAGTTGATCCAATGAGCAAAGCAAAGGCAGTTTGTTAATAGTTATCCCAGCCTCCCAAGTCGCTGGAGGCTTCCCTGTTCTGCCTTGGCTCGAAGTATAGTATATCATATACCAAGCAGCACCAAGCTGCTCTATCGTTGATAAAAGATCAATCAAAAGAGAAGGCTCTTGCCTTGTTTTACCTCTAACACAAATTACAGGAGCACTGACTGTACACAACTGGATGTCCTTAACTGTACACCCTATCCGAAGTTACTGAACACCTTCTTGCACAGGTGATCTCCATAAACCACTGGCTCCAGGGCTGATGGTCCCATAGCCTTTACCAGATCATCTAGTGGCTCCACTCTAGCATCAAAATTCGGCTGCAAACAAAATCACGAGCAGCAGGCAAAAATATCAGTCAGACGCCAATCGATATTATCAAAATCCGGGAAGAAGCCGTGCGGAGAGGAAATTATGAAAGGAACATTGCACATATTCCATAATCTCCCAAACACTTACTTCGTAGAAGAATGGCACCGAGACTCGAAATGTGCGGCTCCTGTTGACAACCCGATGGGGAGTTGGCTGGTAAAGCCCATTCGTCCACAGCTGAGCGGAGGATGTTGGGCAGTAAGAAAAGATCCTACGACATTTGCGGGACACCTTTTCAAGAATCATGGTTGTCGAACAGGCTGATTTATGGCAGGCGCCATGGATCCGGACACCTTTTTTCATTTTATTTTCCAACGAGGCAACTGCAAAATCTTAGTGCATGTTGACCTTGCCGCAATACCAAGAATGACTGTGTTGACAAAGTTTTGAGTTGCTGACAGGAAGAAAGATAGGCTTAGAAGGCATAATGGGATTGTCGCTTCTTCAGTTGCACATTTGTAACTCACCAATACCGAGGCCCTGCATGCTTGACTGAATAAGCAGGCGGGGGAACATGACTAATATTCCATACCTTGAGCATGTCACCAATGTTGACCACGAAGCTTCCTGGAACTGGAGGAGCGTCCACCCATTCGCCTGCCTTATTCTTCACCTGCCCTTTCCAGAACAAAAGAAGAAAGTGAATTAGAGAATTAAGGCGCAAGCAGAAAAAAAGCAGGGGAAAAAGGAATGTCATGACCAACCCAGTCAATCCTGTCACCTGATCTGACTTGATCTGTCACAACCTGATCTGTCAAGTCCTGAACTGTCAAGTCCTGATCTGTCAACTCCTGATCTGTCAAGTCATGATCTGTCAAGTCCTGATCTGTCAAGTCCTGATCTGTCAAGTCCTGACCTGTCAAGTCCTGATCTGTCACACCTGATCTGTCCTGACTTGATCTGTCAACACCTGATCTGTCCTGACTTGATCTGTCATCACTTGATCTGTCCAAGTTTCTACCTGTAAGGCTGTGATGCCAGGGTCCTGATTCACAAACGTAAGAAGGCCTGCAGACACAGGATGTAAAGAGACAGGGTTGCATTTGCACGGGGAAATATTCCCTCTACCCTAGAGAAATAAATCAAGCACAGGGCCATCGAAAGGTATGAAGAATGGTGCAGCGGAAGTGGGAGAGGGAAGAGGGCATCAGCACACACAAAAGGAGGTGGCTTTGCAGGGAAAGCGGGAGATTCTCCACTGAGCTTTAAGGTGTCCCGAAGGAGGGGATGAGGAGGCGAAAGAATTGCGTTGGCGTTTTTAAATATCTCAACGGTGAGAACGAGCCTTGCGTACCGTAATCCGTGTGCTCGCCACTGGGTTGACCACAATTGTCACATTTGTCCCATTTGTCCCATTAGTCCCATGTGTTCCATTCGTGGTTGTCCCATCAGTCAAAATGCACGATGGCAGTTTGAAGGAGGGGGAGAAGTGTCAGGGGGGAAAGCAGGAAGGGACGAGAGAAAGGCTAAGAGCTGACGCTGAAGCAACATAAGAATGCCAAACATCTACTGTTCCGATGACACAGAAGGCAAAAACAAAACACACACAGAAAAGAGACACACTCACCAGCTGAGCGATTCTGTGTCGTGGACAGCAAGGGGAGGGTATCCAATGACTCGGATCACCCTGAACGGGTCGTCAGCCCTGCGAAACGTCTCACAACTCTGTACCCTAAAAACACTGGCTTGAAGCCCACTCACCAGCTGAGCGATTCTGTGTCGTGGACAGCAAGGGGAGGGTATCCGATGACTCGGATGACCCAGAAGGGGTCATCAGCCCTGCCGTGCTCAAATGTGTCGAGTGGGAGGTGCAGCCCCATGGCCATGCCCCGTAGCACTGTGCGACCCAGAGCTGGTGGGGAAGAAGGGGGAAGAGACACACACGGCGGACGCAAACACACACACACACACACACACACACACACACACACACACAAGGGGAGGATATCCGATGACTCGGATGACCCAGAAGGGGTCGTCCTCCCTGCCGTGCTCAAAGGTGTCGAGTGCGAGGTGCAGCCCCATGGCCATGCCCTGTAGCACTGTGCGACCCAGAGCTGGGAGGAGGGGAAGAAGGGGGAAGAGACACACGCGGCGGAGAAAGTAGGAACCACTGATGATGAGGGGATGAAGGGAGAGGGACAGGAAGCAACAAGTGGGAGGTGCAGCCCCATGGCCATGCCCCGTAGCACCGTGCGCCCCAGAGCTGGTGGGAGGGGGAGGGAGGGCAGGAGAGGGAATGGGTTAGGGGGTGAGCAGGAATCACGAATGCTGAGGGGATCGAGTGGGAGGTGCAGCCCCATGGCCATGCCCCGTAGCACCGTGCGCCCCAGAGCTGGGATAGAAAAAGGGGGAGGGCAGAGCAGGAGAGGGAAGACCCTACTGCATGTTCCTCATGTTCCTACTTTTAATGTCAGTCACGCATTCCTACCGTTCATTTTCGTCATGTAGTCGTAACTTTCATCTTTGCCACATATTCCTACCTACCATTGTTGCCACACACTCCCTTGTTCCCATGTTGGTCACACATTCTTACCCTTCATTTTTGTCACATATTCCTCAATAACCGGTCTGAAATGTTCCGGTTGACTGGGCCTGCAATACAGAGAGATGCAAGGTAACCGCATCAAGAGAGAGAGAACAGACGTTAGACAGACCATAACATAACTGCAGCAGGCGCATGGCAAAAGGAACAGAGTAAGTAGCAGCAAGCAGCAACTTATCCCTGTCGCAATTTACAATCTGTTACATCTTGACAGAAATAACAAGCTGCAAGGCTGCTAAAAAAAAAGAAAGAGAGGAAAAAAAGGTTTGAAAGACAAATAGGGATGGTCGGCAAGGAGGGTAAATATCATAATGGCAGGGACTGAGTGAGAAGTGCTTGGCCCACCATGGGTTGGGACCATGAAGTGGCTTCCCGGAAAGCACGAGAGGATGATTAGCTGGATGCTCCCTGTACAACTGGTGAGGAGGCAGGGAGAGAGGGAGGGAGAGAGGGAGTAAGGAAGGGTAGAGAGAGAGGGGGAGCAGGAAGAGTGAGAGGGAGAAGCGAAGAGAGGGACGCAGAAGGGAGACGTGGACAGAGCTGACACATCCATGCTTGCATGTTTGCTGGGGGGAAAAAATGGGGAACGACGAGCCCAGGGAAGCTTGCGATTCTGAACCAAACAGAGCAGTACACTTGCAAAACAGTTTCTTAGAGAAGAAAACTAGTCACACTAACAAGGTTCACATGAATGGCTCAAATTACCAGCTAAGCACATCAACCGGCTCAGATTACTGACTCAGCTCACATCAACGGCTCAGATCACTGACTCAGCTCACATCAACGGCTCAGATCACTAGCTCAACTCACATCAATGGCTCAGATTACCGACTCAGCTCACACCAACGGCTCAGATCACCAGCTCAACTCACATCAATGGCTTCATGCATGTCGCGCCGGCCCTGAGTGATGTTCTCTCCGAGCCTTTGGTATCCCCTGCACGCATCAAAGGAAAGAGTGGGAACTGGGGAAAAAGGCCTCTAAAAAGAGGGAAAAGAAAAAAAAGAGGCAAACAAGCAACCGGACTCGAGTGGGTTGTTGTGAGTGGGCGGACATATCAGTTCCCTTTTCGCTTACACGCGCACACATGTACGCCACACCACATGAACCCCTTCCATGCGCACACCCTCAACCCCCATCACATGCACGCATCACCCACCCTCCTCACCTCACAGGCCCAAAGGCCCTACCTGAAGATCGGAGACTTTGAGAGGGCAATCTCGTTCTTAGCCTCATCAGCAAGTGCAAAGAACTCTCTCCCCACTTCCCGGGCATCGTCCACCAGCTGCTGGGACACGCCATGGCCCGTCTGGCATTTGCCATGAGGAAATAATAGGCAAGACACACACACAGAGCAGAACTGAACCATGCGAAGAACTCTCTCCCACTTCTCGATCATCGTCCACCAGCTGCTGGGGCACGCCATGGCCAGTCTGGCAATGCATGTCAATCCATGTCAATGCACGACAATGCAAGTCAATGCACATCAACCAATGTCAATGCACGACCATGCACGTCAATCAGGTCATTTTTCGCCAAACCATGTTAAGAAGAAACGTGACAGGAGTAGAATTTAGCTCATGCAAGAACGAGTTTTGGTGAGCCTTAGCTTAACTTACTACGTTCCAGCCTTTGATGCTGAGACCAAACAACGACCATGGAAAAAATTCCGTCATATAGTAAGTGTAATTTCAAACAGAAACAGCAGCAGACGCTGCCCGGTGCTAAAAGCACATAAATTTCCTTATAATCGCCTGCATTGACGCCGTTTAGAGAAAACACAGAAACAGACTTACAAGGTAAAAAAAGCCGACTTCCTGGCAAGCTGCATGGATCTCTGAAGCAACCCGCCTGACGTCACTGGGGTACGACGCCTCTTGTGAAGCTTCTGATGAAGTATTTGGTAAAGCTGGGTTCAGGCTCGTGTCGGAACAGAACTCAAGGAGAGGAGAGATGTCTGCGGGAAAAAAATAAGACATACAGAACAGTACTAAAGGAGGCGAGTTATTTATGAGCCAATCCGCCTGATGTCGCTGGCGTATGACGCTCTAATGAAGCTTCTGATGACGCCTGACGTCACTGCCTGGAGCGTGAACAAATAGACGTACCGATCTTCGGGAGCTCCTGAAACGTGCGGACTAAGACGTCCTTATTCGCGACCACGTGCAGCACTCCTAGCTTCTTTCGGTAAGTAAAGATTATCGTGGAAGGGTATGTTTTCCGTCGAATCGCAGCAACGCCATGGGTGCGAGATCCGCTCCAGGCTGATGTTTTTTGGCATAAGGATGAGAAGCAACAGGTTGCCGACATCCTGAAACTACTTACAAGCGGGAGTATATAATGCTGAAAAAGATAGGTGATACAACACCCGTTTTAAAAACCTACAATGCTACAGTCGACGACCGAGCCAAGCGGTTGTGCTGGCTCTAAGAAAGTGGATTTATTGGAGTCGCTGCAAGGCCTTCAGAGTAGTAGGGTGGTTAGTCACTGCTTCCACTACGCATTCTTAGGGCCAATGATAGGAAATTTAGTAGCTCGAGTCAGCTTGAGGAAATTTAGAAGAGTGGTGTGATGACAAAGAAACAGGAATTGACCTGACTGAACATGCAAGGGTGTCAAGTACTGATAGACTGAAACTGTAGTCAACCTTCACCATTTCGCGACGTTGTGAACGTTGATTCGCATCTCCAATGAAAGAATGCTGCGCGATGGTTGGAGCGGTCACACGAACTCCGAAACGTTGGTAACTACATTACCTTAGAAAGCGAACAGAACATAACTTGTCCATTCTACCTCCCTGATTGTCCCACCCTGATGAGTCCTCCTGTCTGTCTTGGGATTGTGTTGTGTCAGATTTTCCCGCGCTGGGGAAATGTTATGTCTGGCGCTGAAGCTGCGGCGGGATTGGCTAGGGTAGGGTGTTACCTATGAGGGCAGGTCCGTAAGTTCATTCTGTCTCAAATCCTATAAACCGATTCATATTTTGAATCGACCGTTTCAAACGTGAAATACTTATCCAGAAGACAACTGTATTGCTCAAAACAGCCCAGAGGCACGCTTTGTTCTGCTCGTTTCTTATCACGCGCAGCCTCTGCGCATCCCCTGCTGCTCTGCTCTGCTCACTTCAATCGCCTAATTAGTCCAGCTCGAGTCAGGTTACCATATTCAGATCCAGTGTGAAATCCAGGTGTTCTCAAGTCACTCGCGCTGCCTGCGAGGCACGCATTGCTGCTCGTAGCTCGTGGCTCGTATGCAACTAATACACGATGGTCGCCGTGTTTTTGGACAAACAGTCAGAGTCTAAATCTGTGTCCGGAACGAGGAGTCCCCTGCGTCCTGGTCGAACCGCATTTCCGATGCTATACAAGCTTCCATCACGAGCGCGCCGAGGGCTATCCGTTTTAATCACTATCCTCGCTATACTCGCTATCCTCACAGCCACCGTTATAATCATGCACAGCAGCCTGGGAGGCGTCCTTTCAACTGGCATCAACCCCAGCAAGGCCGTGCCCTGGATCACGCGATATACGCAGAATCTGACGGCTCAGATCGCCTCACACCGGGAAATAAACACACCCAGTAGTGTAGCTTCGCCAGAAGGTCGTGTAGTTTGTTGGTGGTCCGGCGCTCATGGCGGCTATTCAGGGATAGAAGATTTCTCAGCGGAGTTAACAGATCAGAAGAGGAGGAAGGGAGGTGTGATAGTATCGGGGTCTGGTTGTACTCGCTGCTCGGTAGGCGAGCTCTGCTCGTTTGACATCGATATAAGAACACCAGCGGGATGGGATGTCACCCCGCCGCCCGATATAGTCGATGTGGCGCGCGGCGCGACGGCCAATCTCACGCTCAACGTGGATCGAACCAGCAATAACGCGAACTCCAGCGGATACCACGGCGGGGATCTCGCCGCGAATGGCGGCGGAGGGGACGGAGGGGACGGCGGATGGAGCGGAAGCGGAAGGGCGATGGGAGTGGGTGATTCTAGAGAGTCTCTTGTAGTGCGTCTGGTGGGGCCGGCGTTAGCGGCAGCGGATGTGACTAATGAGGGAGGTGACATTAGGAAATGGAGAATCTCATACCGCGTGTGGGATGCAGGAAATTACAGCGTGCTCCTTCTATCGGAATGTGGGAATTTGGACTTCACCTCCAACAGCACTGAACGCGCCCTAGGAACGGTGGCTGAATGGAACCTCACTGTGCTCCCAAGCCCTGCTCCTGCTCATCCATCCTCCGCCATAATCACATCCACCGATTCAATCACATTCAACCATTCAGTCGGATCTGCCTTGCCAGGCACTGACTCTACCGCGTCCACCACTACCGAATCCTCAGACGGAGCTGACTATAACGAGTACCAGGACACCCCATGCGACCACTCCGCGTACGGCCGGTGGCTCTTCGACCCGCCAAAGGGCAAGTACACGTGGCAGCTGTACCCATGCGCGAAGCCTCTCCCGCCGCCGTCTGAATGGCTCAGCGCGCTTCAGTCTCGGGGCATCTACGAGATCAACATCGTGGGCGATTCCCATCAACGGCTCCTGTTCAACCACCTCTTTTTCCTGCTCACAGGGAAAGCACACGTTTTCCAGTCGAAGGTCCATCATGATATGACGCACGTGATCATGCCCTCCTCCACTCCCGCTCCCTCTCCTGGTGTCGCCTCTGCTCCTGCTGCTGATTTGCCCGACACCCCTGCTGCTGCCGCCTCTGCTTCCTTTGGCGAGGGAGCGTCACCTGGCAGCAGCAGTGAAGCTGCAGAGCAGCGGCCGTTGAAGCTCAACTTCTACTGGATTGCTGGAATCTACAACATCGGGCAATACGGATGCAATTAAGTGCATGCAGCACTGCACAAGTACTTAGTTGACCAAAGGGTCGTATTTTGAGTCGACTCAAAACACGACTCACTGCACAAGTACTTAGTTGACCAAAGGGTCGTATTTTGAGTCGACTCAAAACACGACTCACTGCACAAGTACTTAGTTGACCAAAGGGTCGTATTTTGAGTCGACTCAAAACACGACTCACTGCACAAGTAATTAGTTGACCAAAAGGTCGTATGCCGTGCCCAGCCCTCTCCAGGCGGTTGATACCTGCACCTGCACCTGCACATAAACTCGTGGACAGCTGTTTTCTTGTTATTGAACAGGGTGAATGTACAGCTGTCTTTTAGAACGGTTTTCATGATTGGATAGACGCGTGGACAGAGGTGACTTTTGAGTCGACTGGAGTTTACCTGCATATGGACACATGGTCAGCTGTCTTCTTGTCTCTCATGCGTGTGTTCGTGTGTGTGTGTTTTATGAGTGCATGCATGTCAATGCACGTCTTTTCATGCATGCATGCATGTCCATGTATGCATGCATGTCCTTGCATGTCTGCTCTGCTCATGCATGTATGCGTTGCCATGCATCTCCATGCGTGCAGAAAGAAGTTTTCGAATCAGGGAGGCCCATTCCCCACCATCTCATCAGCAGCAGACGTGACTATAATCAACGGAGGCACGTGGATCCATGGCTTCTGTGATGCGCCCGAAGATGCTTTCGGGTTCTTCCTCCCTAGGTTCCTACGCTGGGCTTATTTGCAACTGCAGGCGGCTCGAAAGTGGCATGTGGCGAGAAAGCAGCTGCTTGAGCTTATAAAGCAGAAAAAACAGCAGCAGCAGCAGCGTCGGCTGCAGCAGACGCAGGAGCAGGAGCAGGAGCAGCAGGCAGTTGCAGGAGGCGACGTAAAAGAGTCTCCAAATGCCGCTTCTGAAGCAGGTAACAAGGGCTCCAGGGGGCCGTGGCTGCTGTACCGAACCGTACCTCCGTTACCACGTAACGGTTTTTGCCGTTATGGGTCAAACAGTCTCGTATCTCATTTGAATATCGTAGCAATTGCACATCTGGCACGATATAGAATTGGGCTTTTAGATGGGAGGCATGTAGAGATGCCAAAGATGGAAGACTACTGTAGTGCTCGCGATAACCACAATAGCTGTTTCAGACACCGCCCGAAGTTTGGGGAAGGGAAGGGAATTTATGAAGGTGATGTAGGTGAGGCTATGGCGTACATGACGATGTATCATTTGTTAAATCTGCTAGAATGATTATCTCCTTTCTTTTAACAGGAAGGGGCTCATTTCGCTCTCATTACGGTCGTTTTTGCTTATTTGTTTGCATACTGCACCTTGCTCCTTTTTTCTACTCAAATTTGTTAAGATTCAGAAAATTTGCGCATTGATTGTGGTTACCGATGTCTTTTGAACCGCGCATGAGTTTCTGTTTACAGTGATGATTTCGCGCCAAGCCGCGTCAGTTTGGGTGAAGCCCGTCAGCATTGCCCGAGAAGTGCCGAGCCGACTCATCTGAGACGGTGATGAAATTGGGGGGAAATTCTTGGTCTTCATCGCCTGAACTGAATGGCAGTGCCCCCTCGCCGTCCCCCTCCCCCCCTTGCCTGAGCTCCCACGTTTTCTTGCGAAGCCCAGATTTTCGTCAGTGTTCGTGAATACCTTCGTCAGCGGTTCAGTCAGTCATGAAAATCTTCGTAAGCCGTTCAGTCAGTCCAAGAATATCTTCGTCAGCCATTCAGTCCATTGACATTCGCGGCCCGTCAGAGGCAAACCAGTGCAGTGACAGAAGAGGTCAGCGGTGTCACACGTATCACACGTGACATACAGCCTGGGACTTTCACATTCACATGGAAGCTGTTCGTGACTTTGGTAAGCTTATGCGCAGGACGCACAAAATGCGTCCCACCCTTACGAGATCGATTCATTCTTTCTGTCACATTCACATGTTCTTGCAAGAGTAAACGATGCTCGCTCTGCCGGTCACCCATTCACATGATTCGGACATTGTATCCGCAAAGAGGATTCCCCTGCGTCCTGGTGGAGTCGCATACGGCGTGCTATCTGCCTTCGCTATAGTCGCAATCCTCACAGCCTCTATCATCACGCACATCCAGAATGGCGACTTTTCAGCTGGCTTTAACGTTAGCATGGCCGGGAGGTGGCGGCATACGCGATATAAGGATAATTCGACTGATTTAAACGACTCACGCCGGGTCATAAGCGACCCGATCACCAACTCACCGGAAGATCGAGTCGTGTGCTGGTGGTCCGGCGACCATGGCGGCTATTCAGGAATGGAAGAATCTGCAGCGGGGGTACCAAGGAAGAACCTCTCGAAGAGGAGGCCTTCCGGGAAGGGAGGTGTGATAGTATCGGGGTCCGGTTGTGCTCGCTGCACGGTAGGAGAGCTCTGCTCGTTTGACATCGATATAAGAACACCAGCAGGATGGGATGTCACCCCGCCGCCTGATTTAAGAGACGTGATGCGCGGTGCGACGGCCAATCTGTCGCACAACATGGTTCGGACCAGCAATAACGCTAACTCCAGCGGAAATCGCGCCGAGAATCACGCCGCGAATGGCGGCGGAAATGACAGAGAGAACAGCGGATCATGGAGCGGAAGGGCGATGGGAGTGGGTGACTTCAGAGAGTCTCTTGTAGTGCGTCTGGTGGGGCCGGCGTTAGTGGCAGCGGATGTGACTAAAGAGGGGGGTGACATAAGAAGATGGAGAGTTGCGTACCGAGTGTGGGACGCAGGGAATTACAGCGTTCTCGTTCTTTCAGAGTGCGGAAGTCTGGACTTCACCCCCAACAGCACGGAACGCGCCCTAGGCACGGTGGCTGAATGGACCCTCACGGTGTTCCCAAGCGCTGCCACTGTTCCTTCATCCTCAGTTTTTATCCCATTCGCCAATTCAAGCACAATCACCGATTCAATCAGAATCGAATCCCCAGACGGAACTGACTATAACGAGTACCAGGACACCCCATGCGACCACTCCGCGTACGGCCGGTGGCTCTTCGACCCGCCAAGGGCCAAGTACACGTGGCAGCTGTACCCGTGCGCACAGCCACTCCCGCCGCCCTCTGAATGGCTCAGCGCGCTTCAGTCTCGGGATATCTACGAGATCAACATCGTGGGTGATTCACATCAACGGTTCCTGTTCAACTACCTTTTCTTCTTGCTGACGGGAGAGGCGTATGCATCGGACACCAAGAAATGTGCTTATATGATGCACGAGGTCATGCCCTCTCGGCCCTCCTCTCCTCCTCTTCCTCCTCCCTCTACTCCCTCTCCTCCCGCTCCGTCTGCTTCATCCCCGGCTCGTCCCACGATCTCAGCGTCAGATCCGGTTTCTGGAGCCTTTGCTCTTCCCTCTCCTTCTGCCGTCTCTGCTCCGGCTGCTGATGTGCCTGCGACCCCTGCTGCTGCCACCTCTGCTCCTGCTGCCGAGGGGGGCATCACAAGGCAGCAACAGCAGTCAGGCTGCAGAGCTGCGGCCGTTGAAGCTCAACTTCTACTGGATTGCTGGGATCTACAATGTGGGGAAACAAGGATGCAAGTAAGTGCACGCATGATGCAAGTAAGTGCATGCATGATGCGAGTAAGTGCATGCATGATGCAAGTAAGTGCATACATGATGCATGCAAGTGCATACATGATGCAAGTAAGTGCATACATGCGTTGCAGAGAAAAGGGAAGGTTCCTAAAAGGGAGTAATTTTTTTGCAGCATGTTTCACTGCTCGAGCAAGCTATACCAGTCGTATTTACCCGAACCGCCTGATTCGTGCCGCCCTCTCCTCTTTCGTCTGATGGGCCGTTGGTTTTTTGTTTTTTTTTTTTGTGTTTTTTTTTTTTGCCGTTTATTTATTTCTTTCTGATTTTCGTGCTCAAGCTCCGAATTACTCCTGACTCGCGATTTTTCGTGTCTATCTCTGCCGAAGTGCAACGAAATCTGTATGCCATGCCCATCCCACTCCAGATTAGGGCACCTCAATAGCCAGCCCTCTTCTGGCAATCGACAGGTGCCATTAAGGTCATGTGTGTGGCCCTCTGCTGTCTTCATGTCTGTGTGTACATGTGCTATGTGTCAATGCAGGATGGGGCTCTTGAAGCAAGGCGGGTGGTTTCCCAACCTCTCACCTGCAGCAGACGTCACCATTATCGACGGAGGCACATGGACCCATGCCTTCTGTGACACTCCCCAAGATGCATTCGGACTCTTCCTCCCTAGGTTCATGCACTGGGCCTATAACAAAATGCAGGTGGCTCGAAATTGGCGGATGGCGGGAGGGCGTGTTTCTGAGATACTGAGGCAGAAAAATCAGCAGCAGCAAGAGCAGGGGCAGCAACAGCAGGAGAAACAGGAGCAAGAGCAGGGGGCGGAGGAGCAGCAGGAGGCAAGTTTACAAGGCAGCACCGTCAAAGAGCATCTGAAGCAGGAAACAAGAACTCCAGAGGGCCGTGGCTGCTCTACCGTACCATCCCTCCGCTACGGCGTAACAGCAACTGCCATTATGGGTCAAACAGTCTTATTTCACAGTTGAATCTCGTGGCCGTTTCTCGTTTGGCAAGATATAACATCGGGCTTTTAGACGGGCGAAGTGTGGAGATGCCAAAGATGGAAGACTCATGTAGTGCTGGAGATACCCATTACACGTGTTTTAGACCCCGCCCACAATTTGGGAAGGGGAAGGGGATTTATGAAGGTGATGTAGGGGAGGCTATGGTCTACATGACAATGTATCATTTGCTATTTTTGTTAGAGTGATGATTCCCCAAATTCTTCTATCAATGATACATCGGTTGTGATTTTTAGGTTGTATGAGGGATTGTTTTGCGCTCTATGCTACCCAGAAACTCGATCTGTAAATGAACCGTTCTTAACCGCATTGAATCTGGCTGAGCCGCTCTTGGTTTCGAATTTCTTCACTGCCTTGTCGAATTTGATTGAATCCTCCCTGATTTCTGCCTTGCCCTATCCTGTCGCCGTCACTTCTCCCAGCCATTCCTCTCACCCATCTCGGAACCAAGCATTTCGTTTCGTATCCCATGCGTGTTTCGCTTCATGCGTATTCCTCCTAATGTAGCTCCGTCTTATTCGCAGCGCGCGATACGACTCTAGCTAGCATCGGAAATGGCGCCGTCGAATCTGCTCCTCTCGCCATCACCCGCGGCACGGTCATTCCTGAACTCCCACTTTCAGCGGCTCGAAGATCTCTCTCTCGCGCCAAATCTCCTCGGCAATCTCTCTTCGGAGATTAACGACCTATTTTCGCGCAAATATGCGCTCTGTTCGTCTCTCGCCTCCTCGCTCCAACCCGCAGATGACGACGACGTCCGAGCCAGCAGCTCCAGGCTCGGCGAATCCGAGCCTGATGCACGTCCGGGAACCATTTCATCCGTGGCCGCTCGCGCGCTCCAGTCCATTGCAGCCACATCGGAACGAATCGAAGAATGCCACGTGCGCGCCTCCGTGGCGGCCGCTGACGTGCAGCCGATGGTTGATCGGCTTGCCAGGCTGGCAGCTGAGGTGGCGAGATGCGAGAGGGTGAGGGGATACGTAGAGGTGGTGATAGGGTTTGAGAGGCAAGTAGGGGATGTGGAGGAAAAAGTGGGAATGGCGGTGGGACTATGGAGGAAAGAAATGGGCTCTGCTGCTTCCGCCTCTGCCTCTACCTCTGCCGCTGCTGCAGCCTCTTCTTCCGCCGCTACTACTGCCATTGCTGCTCCTGGCGCTGGTGCTGGTGGTGCTGGTCCCGTTGTCACTGCTGCTGCTGCTGGTGCTTCCCCTGCTGCAAGTGCCGCCCCCGTCACTTCCAGGAAGCAACCGTTTCGAAACCCTAAGCTCCTCTCCTCCCTCCGCACCGCCTCGCACGCCGTCCTCACCGCATCCAACCGCTCCGCGTCCACCTCGCGACACCACCCGGCCTGGTCCCGCCTGCTGACAGCTGTCGATCTGCGATTGGACGCCGCGACTGCCGCCCTGCTAAGCCCTCTGATGGATTGTTACAGGGGGTGTCTCGCTGCTGCCAGCTGGCCTCCTCCCCTCAGGAAAGGAGGAGGAGGAGGAGGAGGAGGAGGAGGAGGAGGAGGAGGAGGAGGAGGAGGAGGAGGAGGAGGAGGAGGAGGAGGAGGAGGAGGAGGAGGAGGAGGAGGGGAAGAAGGAGCAGCAGCAGGTGCTCCTGCTGCTGCTGCAGGTTCGGCGCTGGATCGGCTTGCCGGACCTGGAGGCGATCTTCGGGCCGAGTTCACGAGCCTGTTTTTGGCGCTGTGCTCCCTGCAGCACGCGCAGAAGGTGAGGCGAGAAGCAGAGCAGGTACGGATTCGAAGCGAAAGCGAGGTAGCATATATGGAGGATGGAGAGGAGGAAGAGGAGCAGGAAGAGGAGGAGGAGGCAGACCTAGAGAATATCCAGAACCTTGGAAATATCCAAGTAGAAGAGCCGTTGCTACGGGGGATGGAGGAGCTGGTTCAGCCAATAGCGTCGCAGGCCCGGCCGCCCTTCGACCAATGGGGAGCGAGCGGGCGGACGGAGTGGGCCTTTGCACTGACCCTCCGGGTGGCGTTGACTGGCGTTGACTCGTTTGACCTGGCGCTACAGCCGCTGGTGGACGAGGAAGGGCTCACAGGGGTGAGTGTGCGGGAGGGCTGGGTCCGGGCTGTGGTTCGAATGCTCCCGATCCACTTTCTGCGGAGGACCGTCGTGCCGAGCCTAGCTGGGAAGCTAGGAAGCGCAGGGATCGAAGGAGAAAGAGGTGGGGGAGGGAAGGGGGAGGAAGCTTGGGAGGAGGAGTTAAGTGAGAACGAGGAGAGAGCAGCAGCAGCAAGGGAGTGGCTTCGAGTGGTGAGTGAGTGTATCGCCTTTGACTCTGCCATGTCTCGCCTGCTGGTCTTTGGCTCTCCTGCCTCTTCTGGTGCTGCTGCTGCTGCCACTCCTGGTGTTCCCACCGATGCGGCTGCCGGTGCTGCTGGCGCTTCTGGTGTTGCTACAACCACTGCTGCAGCTGCTGTGGACAGTGCAGATCTTCCCGTGCCAGCGTCAGATTTCTGGGCGGCACTGCAGGTGGATCCCACAGTGGGAGTCTTCGTGGAGCGACCTGATTGGCTGCTGCTCTGGATCCAATTGGAGCACGCCAGCGCACGCAGGGGCGTGCTAGCTGTCATGGGCAGGGACGCTTCCTGGAAGGTTCCTCGGGATGGGGAGGACGAGGCAAGCATGGGGTTGCAGGAGTTGACCTCTACTGGCCTGCTGCTGAATGTGGTTGACCGTTCTGCAGCAACGGAAACAGAATTGTTCCCTGCAGCAGCAGCGGGAACGGCAGGAAACGGAATTGTGGAGTTCCGACCGCCGCCCGTTGCTCTTCAGCTGATTGAGATTCTCCGGGCGGCTGTCTCCCGATGCGGGCGGCTTTCCGGGACCGTATCTGAAGGCACTGCAGCAAGCAGCACTGTAGCAGGCAGCAGTGACAGTAATGAGGGGAGTGGCGCCAGCAGTAGCATGACCAGCCCCAGGGCCATCGGCCGCGGACGGCAGCGCCTGTCTTATGTCGAGGGGCTCTGCCGCCCGATTCTCTCGGCGTTTCTGAAAGAGACGGAGCAGAGAGCGGACGAGATAGAAGCAGCAGGAGCCCTGGCGAGAGATGGGGATCTAGAGGATATGGCTGGGTGTGCCAATGCTGCTAGGTTTGTAGCTCATGCGCTTGGGACGTGGCAGGATGAAGGGTTTCTTGTGGAGGCATGGGAGGAAGGGAGGAGGGAGAGGAGGGAGAGGAGGGAGAGGCAGGCAAGGAGGAAGAAGGTGAGGGAGCCTCCTTTGCAGCAGAGGAAGAAGGAGAGTCAGCAGCAGCAACAGCAGAAGGAGAACGAGAGAGAGCAGGCTGAGGCAGGAAGACGAAAGGTGGAAGGGGAGGATCAGGAGCAAGGGCAGGGGCAGGAGGAGGAGGGAGGAGGAGACGGATGGGAGCTTTTGGATGCTGAAGAGAATGAAATCGAAGGGGAGCAACAAGGCCTTGTGTTACACCAACAAAAACAGCACCAGCATCAGGGGGAGAACCAGCAGAAGATCCAATCGGAGCAGCAAGGAGAGCAGCACGCAGGGCAACACACAGAGCAGCACATGCACCGAATTCAGGACCTACTAGACCAATACTTTGGCCCTGGTCCCGACCTCTTCTCCTCTGAAATCCACCGCCTCGCCTCCCTGCACTCCACGCTCGTCGCCAGGCTGGCGACAGCTGTCGCGCGTGGATTTGTCACCCGCACCGCCGACTACCCACGTGCCATTGTGCGCGTCCAGGCCCCTCCTCTCTCCCTTCCCTCTCCTCCCTCTCCTCCTTCCGGCGATGCACACTCTCTCTCCCACTCCTCCGCCTCCCTCGGCCTCTCCTCCTCTCTGGTCGATGCGCTCATCTTCCTCCGCCTCCGATTACTCTCCGCCCGCCACTCACTCGACGCGGCTCTCTTCTCCTCCTTCTGGCGCCACCTCGCTGCCTTCCTGGATCGTTACCTAGTGGATAAAATCGTGTTGGGACGAGAGGTGAGCGTAGGCGTGGGTGTGGGGGTGGGGGGTACAGAGGTGGCAGGAGGGGGAGGGGTTGGAGGAGCTGGAAGGGTGAGCGGAGGGGCAGGTGTTTTTTCAGATGGGATGGGCGCTCGGGGTGCGTCGAGTGCGAAAAAGAGTGCTGCTGGTGGGGCGGGACTTGTGTTGGGCAGCTTGAAATTTTCGGAGCGGGCGGGGCAGCAGTATTCGTACGACATGCAGGTGGTGGTGTCGGTGTTTGAGATTGCCACCCCCCGGCCGCTTAACTTCTTCAAAAAGACGAGAGACGCCGCCCGGCTGATGGCCATGACGGATAGAGACGCCAACGGGTTACTGTTCATGCTGTCGCTGGTGAGTGGGTCTGGGGCAGCATCGTCTTCATCCTCGTTATTATCTTCTTCATCAAAAGCACTGGCGTTGGCCAGTGCAGCTATAGGGGCTGCTGGGGCGGCTGTTGGTGCTGGTGGTAGGGATGTTGGCAGTGGCGGGGATTCAGGGGTTGATAACTTGGAAGTCAAACAACAGGAGCAGCAGCAGCAGGTAGAGGAGGAGGAGAGGCAGCAGAGGGCTGCAGCAGCATTGAGAAGGAGAGGAATTTTGCATTTACAGGCAGGGGAAGTGCAAGCTGTGCTGGAGAGACGTGCTTTGCCAAAAAGGTAGCCTACCGTATATTGCTACTCATGATTCGACAAAAGATTTCGTTATATAGATTTAGAACTTGTGTGGCCTTGGTTGCCTTGTCATGGTCAGGGGGAGGAAGCCGGGAATGAGCTGAGTTATTTCACAGCTTATGAGTCCAATTTGTCAGATTGATTGGCTTGTATTGTATGTGGTAGTTTGGACTGCACTCCTTCATGACGTCCACATATTTATTTATATGCTCCATCAAAAGTAATGTGCATCAGGGCAAGAAGAAGTTGATCAGATCTTGAAGAGGGATATTGCGGAAGTATTAGCACCTCATCGTGTACGGGATCGTTCTATTCAACGGACCAAGTGTATCTATTTGCATTTTCTGTCGTAATTTCCCAGCAAGCTCTTCACCACTGACAAATGCCTGCTGGCAGGCTTCCTCCTCCGAGTCGCAATTGGTGCGGTTCGTCGTCACTGGCACACCGCACCTTGCGTTTCGCCCAGATTTGTGCACCGCAATGTGTCGAATTGACGCCACGAGCGGAGCATTTGGCGCATGATGGAAATCCGCCCATTCTCTGGTGTCTCCAAGCCAAACCATCGCACACCTGGCTGAGTTTGCCTGATCGCATGTCCCAACGATGTTCGCAGATCGCGCGAATTTTCAGTTACAAGTATTCGCATACCTCAGCTGCACCATCCCATCCAATCCCATCCTCCAGCACACCATTCACTGGAACCTCACAGCACAGGAAGAACCCCACCTTGATCAGCGCCCCTTATGTACTGGCGCTGCTGATCAGTGCACTTCTGTTCATCAGAAATTGCGTCCAAGCCGCAATGGCTCCCGTAGTGCAGCCTCTGCGTGTGATATACCGCGGCGATTTCGTACCGAACCCCCAGAGTGGCGAGGCACACGGCGGCATACAGCAACCTCTCTCATCCCACCATTCCTGATGAACACTGTTTGGATATATACCAAAATATTATACTCGACCCCTTGCCGCCGTTTGTGCTGAAAACATTTTCATCGCACGTCAGCGCTGACCGCAGCAGTCAAGAGCAACGTCAGTGGCTGCGCCACTGGGTGCCACGTTTCGCGACTCGGATCGGTTTTCAGGATGCTTTTCCCTAAGCCCTGTATGTCTAAGGTGCCAGATGCCTGTCGCCTCTTTAAACTCTTGTGCTTCTCAGCAGAAACCAGCTTAGTATAGTGCACCAGTGATCGCGGTTCCGTACCTGAATAGAACGAGATATATTCTACCTGAGGAGCTCCTACGATACGATGCGAGTGACGAGCCCTTTCTTTCCAAGAGAGTCCAAAACCACAGAGCTGATTATTCCAGGAGCTGATTAGCAGCGAGCCTGCCTCCAAAACCCCTGAACGATTATTCCAAGGCCCCAGTCACTCAGAGCCTAACGTGGAGTTAATTTCCTCCTGGTTAATCGTCAGTTATTCCTTCACGTATTACTTGAAGAGGGTGCGACCAGTTTCACGCAGAGTCTGTAGCGGCGTCGTTGCGGCCTTTCGCGCTCTTTCGTTTTCCTTCGCAATCTCTCATCGCGATGATCCCGAGAGAGGGGCGGCCCCAGCGGACCGTAGCTGGCTCGTTCCAACTACCCAGGCTAGTGTCCCTCGTCTTAGCCTTGTCGCTCGTTCTAGCTGTCTCAGAACCGGCGTATGCGGGACGATTCTTGACGGGAAAGGGATTGAAAGGAGGGGATGGGACTAGTGGGTCGTCGTTACGTATCCTAGACGAGGTGCTTATGGAGAAGGGTGTTCCAGATCTTGTAACGGTGCTCAATGATAAGGGGGATGCTGAAAAAGAAAAGAAAAAGAAAGAGAAGGAGAAGGAGAATAAGAGCAGTGACAAGACGGGCGCTGTTGATACGGGCGCTGCTAAACAGGTACCTGCTAAAGGGGATGCTATTAAAGGGGATGCTGTCAAGGACGGCGCGGTCGAAGGCGATACTACCGGAGATCCCAAGGCTGGTTCAAAGGGTCCGGAGGAGCAAGGTGCCGGCAAGTCGCCACCTGCCGACGAGAAGTCAGGGAACGGCAAGGGGACTAAAGTGTCGCAGCCTCTTTCGCCAAAAGAGTCGCCCGGTGACTCGCCAGACGCGCCTTCCAGCAACCAGTCGCAGGAGCAGAAGGAGTCGCAGAAGTCGCAGGAAAGCTCCACAGAGCCTGCGGCAACGCCTGAAAAGCCGCCTGCTAGCGAAGCAGCGTCGGGAGAAAAGCCCGTCAATGGTGCCGGCGACGAGTCAGCGCCGAAAACGGCGCCGAAATCGGCACCGGAGCCCGCGCCGGAACCTGCGGCGGAACCACCGCCGGAACCTGCGTCAGAACCAACCCGAGCCGTAGATGGCAATTCCAATCTGAGTTCAGATGGCGGTGGCGGTGGGGATGGAGGAGAGGGTTCAGGGGACAATAGCACGGAAGCTTCGTCGAATAATCAGGGTCCGAGTCAGCCAAGCGATGACGGATCGTCGGGAGACAAGGGCGTGCAGGAGTGGAACGGAGGGTCGAAAGATGACGGAAAAGATGGCGGAAAAGGAGACGGAAGCGGTGACGGGGGGCAAGGGAAGGGCGGGACGGAAACCGCCGGGTTCAGGATGAAAGACGTGAAGCGCGCCAATTCCGTGAAGCCCCAGAAGATCGACGGCTGGTTCGCCATCCACGATGGCTACAGTGGCGAAGCTTCGGCGCTTAAGGCGGCTGATGTCATCTTCTATGGGGACTCGCTCATAGAGGTACAATAGATATTATAACGAGGGAGGCTGATGATAATATAAAGAGGGCTTTCTTTGTGATACTATGGAGGGTTGAAAGAGGAAAGCAGTCCAAAATGGGTGCTGAAGTTGGGTTTCCTGACTTTTTGTGCAGGGATGGAGTGAGAAGTTTCTGGGAAGGCAGCTGGGACTCTACGCTGGAGTCAGGTACGTCGTAGAAGCTCTTATTTTCTCGTCGCCGGGTGCTGAAGCGAGTTGACTTTTGAGTCGACTCAAAAGTTTTCTCGTCGCCGGGTGCTGAAGCTGAGTTACTTGACGTTCTTTTATCTTTGTTGGTGCCGGCGGCGAAGTGTCTGACTAAGTGTGTTGTTTCTAGGATTCGCATGCACCTGCATTGTGTGCGTGCTTCCGCTTGTTGACGTTTTAGCTAATTGTTGTCTAAAAATCCTCAACCATCGTTTCTGGGTGTGCCTGCTTCTGCTGCTGCTGCTGCTGTTTCTGCTCCTGTTGCGTGTGGTTGCAGCGGCGTGTTCGATGCTCTCAAGGCGTCTCTCGGTGCGGGGAAGGAGGTGCGGGCGTTTGGGATTGCTGGCGATACAACGGACGACCTTATATGGAGGTTGGAGGTGCGGAATACCGTGTGTGTGTGACTGTGGGTGCGTGCATGTGTGACTGTGTGAGACTTCTTGACTGTGCGTGTGTACCTGTGTGTGTGACTGTGTGGGTGCGTGCATGCGGTGCGTGTGCGTGCTTGAGTGTGTCTGTTTGCGCTACATTCTTCCCTTCCTCCCTACCTACCTCCCCCCACTCGAGGAATCAACAGTCAATCTACCAAAACTGCCAGAAATGTTATAGATTGAGAACGTCAGTCAACTGTACGAATGAGAACGCTGGGCTGAATGAATAAACATGATACGATCATCTTACCTGTTCCCCACCTCGCGCTCTTGCTTCCTGCCCATGCCCAACGCTCCATGATTTCTTATTTCCCTCGTCTCCTGTCCTTTCCTCCACTCTCCTCTCTTTTTCCTCCCCTCACCTCCCCTCCCCTCCTCTCTCTCCTCTCCTCTCCTCTCCTCTCCTATCCTCTCACCTCCCCTCCTCCCCTCCTCCCCTCCCCCTCCCCACGTCTCACGCCGTGACCTTAACACCCAAGCAGAACGGCGAGCGCCCAGCCTCTCTCAGCCTCTCGCTGGCAGTGGTCTGCGTGGGCATTAACGACGTTTTCGAGTCTGTTACTAACGGAGGCGTGGACGCGCAGGCGATCGCTAGTAAGGTATATAAAGAGATTTATTATTTTGTCGCTCTCATGAAGTAAATAGTAGTCGTTTAATAAAAGTTATTGAGTAACAATAACTTGTGTGCGTATGCATTACTGTACACGACTTCCAAGTTGTCTCGATTTGGTTGTATGCAAACACTACTTCCCTACTTCGACCTCCGTGCATTTCTTTGCAGGTTGGCGAAATGGTAACCGCAATTCGCGCGTCACAACCCACCACGAAAGTGCTCGTCCTTGGCCTGTTACCCGAGGTGAGCTTTCTATCCAACGCCTGGTAACCGGAAAGAAAATCAAAGTGGCTTAGGAACCATTAGCACAGTGCAAGTAACAGAAGCATGTCATGTAGACTGAACGAGCAGTAAATAGGAGAACGTAAGCAGTGAAGTTAAGTCAACGTCGTTGTCACGTAAAAAGTCAACGTCATTCTCATCTCATTAATCATATGTCTTCCACTTCAATAAAGTCAACGTCGTTCTCATCTCATTAATCATATGTCTTCCACTTCAATAAAGTCAACGTCGTTCTCATCTCATTAATCATATGTCTTCCACTTCAATAAAGTCAACGTCGTTCTCATCTCATTAATCATATGTCTTCCACTTCAATAAAGTCAAACATCATTCTCAGAATTCCACTCTCTCCCATCCTCTTCCTCCCCATTCCACTCTCTCCCTCTCACCATCCCTCTTCCTGTGCAACCCCGCCCACCCTTTCTCGTGCACCTCTCTCCAGGGGTACCTCTCAAAGTCAACAAAACCAGATCCCCATTCAATCAAGTCAACGCCATTCTCACAATTCTAACCTCTACCACCCTCTCCCTGTGCACCCTCTCAGGGGTACCTCTCAAAATCATCAACACCAGATCCCCAGCCAGGGCAAGTCAACGCCGTTCTCGCACAGTCAATTCCAGGTGAGCTTCTGGCAGTTGTAGTTTTATGGAGCGAGTCAACGCGATTCAAACGCCGTACCAATCCTCACTCCACTCCCATTTCACCCCATGAAGTTTGAAAATTTTTCTTGGTTTCTGAGTCCGCTCAAAATTCAACTCGAAGATGTGCTTGGGAGAATCTACAGCACTTTTCATTCAACAGGTGCAACGTTTTTTTCTTCTCTTGCTGCACCTGATACAATGCAGATGGCACGAGCACCTACTTCCTGGACTGTAAGGATGCGTTCCTTAACGAGGATGGCCTTCTGCTTGAAGACCATTACATCAATGTAAGCTGTTGCCTGTAAAACGTGCTGCAAGGAGTAACATAACAAGCTTTGAATGGGAGTGCTTAGGCTAAGATCTGACACATGCTGTAGTGGAAATCCTGTGCTGTGCTGTACTACTGTGCTGTACTGTGCTGTGAAAATTGTTGGAAAGGTTACGTAGCAAGCATTGCATTAGTTTGTCAGCTGTGATTCCTGCCCTCTCTCCCTCTCTCCCCCTCTATCCCTCTCTTCTACCCTCCCACAGGATACCTTCCAACGCCTACACCTGTCAGCAGCTGGTTACGACGCATGGGCCAGATGCATTTCCCCACAGGCCCAGACCATCCTCGGGTAAGTCCGACCACTTTCTAGCATACAAGAAATGGCCTTCTAAATGATAAAGAGTCAGCCGCTGGTTACGACGCATGGGCCAGATGCATTTCCCCACAGGCCCAGACCATCCTCGGGTAAGTCCGACAATTTCGATACTACTGCAGTCTCCCTATTAGGAAAAGCCATTGTCACTTGCCTCGTTGCCTTCATCCCTCCTCGTCTCCTGCTCCTCCTTCCCACTCCCCAGGGAGAAGCCTGTAGGCGTGCCTGTGGCATCTTCTCCCGACCAGGGAAATGACAGCAGGTCGACCAGGCAATAGCAGCAGCTTCACCATTTCTGATCTTCTCTGCTCGCCTCATCTGAGTTTCTCGCCTTGCCTTCTTCCCTCCCCCCCCACCGCCCTTCAGGGAGAAGCCTGTAGGGTTGCCTGTGGCATCTGCTCCAGACCAGGGCGATGACAGCAGCCTCAACAGCCCTCCTCTCTTTGCTTCATTCCTTGTCATCTCATTGCTCTACCCCCTCCTGTCTCCTGCTCCTTGCACCCCCCAGGGAGAAGCCTGTAGGGTTGCCTGTGGCATCTGCTCCAGACCAGGGCGATGGCAGCAGCCTCAACAGCCCTTCTGGTGACTCTCCTGCTCCTTCACCCCCTTCCTCCCCTTCTCCTTCATCTCCCTCCTCTCCCTCCTCGCCCTCCTCTCCCTCCTCGCCCTCCTCTCCCTCCCCTCCCTCGTCCCCCTCTCCCTCACCTTCGGACGCCTCCTCTCCCCCTTCTGCATCTTCTCCTTCTCCCACATCCTCCTCCCCTTCTCCCTCTTCTCCTTCTCCCACATCCTCCTCCCCTTCTCCCTCTTCTCCTTCTGCTCCCTCTTCCTCCCCGCCTCCCACCACCAACACCTCCTCCCCCGACCCTGATTCCCCACCCAAATCTCCTGACTCGGGCAAACCCCCCCCCACATCAACAGATCCCCTCCCCACACCCTCACCCCCCTCCACCACTTCCCCTGATCCCCCCTCCAACTCAACTACCCCTGAAGAACCTTCTTCCTCCCCTTCACCTTCCTCCCCTTCACCTTCCTCCCCCTCACCTTCCCCCAAAGAACCTCCCAAAGGACCTTCCAAAAAACCTTCCTCCCCTGCTCTCACCCCCCAAAATAGCTCCTACCCGACTCTCCCTAGGGAAATACCTGGCACCCTCACGCCCATTCCTTCCTCCTCTGCTCCAACCCCCCCAACCTCCGCTCGTACCCCCCCCACCTCCTCTCCAACCCCCCCCACCTCCGCTCCAACCCCTGTTACGGAATCTAACTATACCACGTCTCCTAAAAAAGAATCATCAACGGGGGGTGCTGATGGTGCTGGCTCTGGTGCCGGTGACTCAACAACGGGTAATGGTGCTGCTGGTTCTGCTGCTGGTGGTGCAGGTGCAGGTGCAGGTGCTGGTGGTGGTGGTGCTGTTGCTGGTTCTGGTGTTACTGCTGCTGCGGCAGCTGGAACCGCCATCCCAGCAGGGCAAAGCGCAACAAAAGCAGCAGCAGGACCGGCAGCTAGCTCGGCCAGGTGGCAACGTCTGATCAGTTCCCTCCTGGGCCTCGCTTGTACTGTACTCCTGGGGTTGCTTTGATGGGAGGAGCTAGGGGATGGGGGTGTTTTTTGAGGCGCCTCAAAACTGCTGATCAGTTCAATCCTGGGCCTCGCTTGTACTGTATTCCTGGGGTTGCTTTGATGGGAGGAGCTAGGAGATGGGGGTGTTTTGTGTCCTGCGGTGCTATGCAGTAGAGTCCCATGTACAAGGGTGTGTAGATAGCTTCTTGCTGCATTGATGTATTGCACCAGGACCGTATTAATCAGTTCAAATGTGTGTCGGATCAGAGCTAGTGTGCAGCTTTTGATGTACCGTACATCAGCTCTTCGATTTCAGTGGCGGGACACAACACACAACAGCTACTCCACACCACACAGGTCAGATCAGACACCCACGAAGCGGCTCAGAGGTCCACAAAGCTGAGCAGAAACCCGCTGACAACCCGTCTGAGGAAGGCGTTGGGGATGTAGCGACACATCCGGCCATCCACATATGGCAGAAGTGATTTGAGTTCTCGAAAGTGATATCCTCAGAGGTCCACGAAGCTGAGAAGAAAGCCGCTGACAACCCGCCTGAGGAACGCGTTGGGGATGTGACGACACAGCCGGCCATCCACATATGCCACCACACTCGCCACCACTCGCTCACCACCATGCCATGGCACGCACTCCGAATCAAAATCAGCCCGGACTGGCTCAGAGATCAACAAAGCTGAGAAGGAACCCGCTCACAACCCGCCTGAGAAAGGCGTTGGGGATGTGGCGACACAGCCGGCCATCCACATATGCCACCACACTCGCCACCACCACATGACTCACTGCCGCCCGCACCCTCCCCCCTGCCCTTCCCCCCACCCTCTCTCTCGCACCCCCACCAGCCCTCCTTTCCGCTTGCCCTTCCTCCCCTCTACCTTCTCCTGTAGCAGCGGCTATAGCAGGAGGGGTTGGTGCTGCCGCTTCGTCTGCCTGAGTGCCAGGTGGCGGCTTGACACGCAGCCACCTGGCGGTCTGGTGTCTGAGTGTGCGGATGAGAAGGGTGACTGCGAGCTGCTCTAGCAGCGCCCACACTGCCACCCGTGCGTTGTGGGGGCCCTGAGGCAGGGAGAAGAGAAGAGCATGGAAAGGGGAGACAAACGGGTGGCCACGCATGATAACTGTTACCCAAGTCTGGTGTCTGAGAGAGAGAGCGGATGAAAAGCGTGACTGCGAGCTGCTCTAGCCGCGCCCACACTGCCACCCGTGCATTGTGGGGGAATGAGTGGATGGTTTAGCATGGTAACACTCACAGACACACAGCACTCACCATCTGCTCCCCGTGAATGCGTCGCAGCGATCGGAATGCAGAAACCTCCCCTGCCCCACCAGCACCACCACCAATACCAGCACCAGCAGCAGGCATACCCATCCTTCCCCTCCCTCCCCTCCCTCCATCCCTGCCGCCTCCCCTCTCAGGCTCCAATAGCCCTTCCGTGACCAAGAAATCCGTGACACATGTCACCATCTCATTGGTCAGCGACGTGTTGGGGGGTAGGTTCTTCAGAACGACCTGGAGCGAAGGGATTGGAAGGAAAGGGCGAGTGGGAGGCAAAGGAACGATGGAGCACATTACGAGCCGAGTCGAAAAGATACCCCTTCAGTTCAGCCATAAGAAGCTTTACTTGCTACCGTGAGATAGGCATCCCTGCAGCAGCAAGGGGGTTTCTGTGTCTGTTTGTGAGTTTTGAGACGTCTCAAAGCAAGGGGGTTTCTGTGTCTTTTTATGTACTTCATAAGCCTATAAAAGCGAACTTACTGTGTCATTGCCAATCTTGACAGTGACGTATGGCTGACGGTAGAGGGTATCCAGCATGGCTTGCAAGTAGCCCTCCACGTACGCCTGGTGGGTGGAAAAGGGCATGGTTAAGGTGCGGTTAAGTGCGGTTTAGTGCGATACAGTGTGTCCAGCATGGCTTGCAAGTAGCCCTCCACGTACGCCTGGTGGGTGGGATGGATAGATCGTAGAGTGGGAGCAGACAGACAGTTTGTCAGGGGCACTTGAGGAAGCATGGGGGACAAGGGCAGGCACCATCTCAGCCCGGCAAGGCTTGCAATACCGTGGGTGAGAGATCTGAGAATCTGCCCACCAACCTCCCCCACCTAGAGGCCTTTAAAACCTCTTTCCCATCTAACCTCGTGGAGCCCCAGGGTGATTTTTTAGGCGCCTCAAAAGATTTTTAGGCGCCTCAAAAATCTGCCCATCAACCTCCCCCACCTAGACACCTCTAAAACCTCTTCCCCATCTCACCTTGTGCAGCCCCAGGCTGGTGCTCAGGCGAATGTGAGAGTGGTGGAGAGGAAGCGACGGTGAGTGGATGAGGAGGAGGAAGAAGTGGGTTTTGTGGAACCGTAAGCGTAAAACTCGAAACTCTATACTCTAGCCCATGCGTTACCTCGTGCAAGCCCAGGCTGGAGCGCAGGCAGATGCGGGTAGTGGAGAGGAAGCGGCCGCAGGTGGAGGAGGAGGAGGAGGAGGAGGAGGAAGAGAGGGCGGCAGTGAAGCCGGGGGCAAAGGGGTGCAGGAGGGGAGCGAGCATGGTATCTGGCTCCATGGCAGTGGGGAGATTGCTACAAGGCTTACCTCGTGCAGCCCTAGGCTTGTGCGCAGGTGGATACGGGTGGTGGAGAGGAAGCGGCGGCGAGTGGATGAGGAGGAGGAAGAGGAAGAACAAGTGGGTTTTGTGGAACCATAAGCGTAAAACTCGAAACACTATACTCTTCCCTAGAAGTTACCTCATGCAGCCCCAGGTTGGTGCGCAGGCGGATATGGGTGGTGGAGAGGAAGCGACGGCGAGTCGACCAGGAGGAGGAGGAGGAGGAGGAGGAGGAGGAGGAGGAGGAGGAGGAGGAGGAGGAGGAGGAGGAGGAGGAGGAGGAGGAGGAGGAGGAGGAGGAGGAGGAGGAGGAAGTGGGGGTTGTGGAACCCTAACCTCTAAAACTGAAAGCTTGTATTCTAGCCTAGACGTTACCTCATGCAACCCCAGGCTGGTGCGCAGGCGGATACGGGTGGTGGAGAGGAAGCGCGGGTGGACGAGGAGGAGGAACCAGAAGAGAGTGCGGCAGTGAAGCCGGGGGCGAAGGGGTGGAGGAGGGGCGCGAGCATGGTGTCTGGCTCCATGGCAATGCGTAAAATGGCTCGATGGAAGCCCTTCGCCTGATGGTCGGATGGGTGGGATGGGGCAGAGAGTAAGGGACTTCACCCCATGGTTAACATGTTAACGGCCCTGCTATTGTTAATGTGTTAAAAGAGCAGTGAAGGGGTGCACGAGCGGAGCGAGCATGGTGTCTGGCTCCATGGCGATGCGGAGGATGGCACCATGAAAGCCCTTGGCCTGGTGGTGTTTGGGATGGGACGGGATGGGAGGAAGAAAAAGCAGCAGTGGGGGCGATGGGGTGCAGGAGGGGAGCGAGCATGGTGTCTGGCTCCATGGCGATGCGGAGGATGGCACCATGAAAGCCCTTGGCCTGACAGTGTTTGCGATGGTATGGGATGGGGTGGGATGGGATGGGGCAGAGAATGAGAAGAGATTGGTTAAGAGAAGAGATGGTTCAAATCCGAAATTTCAAATCCTTTGGCACCTTGCTCTCAGTTCAACTCGCACCCACTCGCACCAATCACAAACCCAGACTCACCAGCCCAGGCACTATTGAGGCGCCTCAAAAGTAGACACCCTGCTCTTAGTTCAGCTCACACTCACTCGTGTCACAGACCCAGACTCACCAGCCCTGGCAGGCCACCGCTCTCCACCCCTCGCATCATGGAATCCGAGAGCTCTGATACCATTGCATGCACCCACGTGAAAGGGCGTGTATTTTGAGACTGCACACACACACACACACTCACCAGCCCCGGCAAGCCACCGCTCTCCACCCCTCTCATCATGGAGTCTGAGAGCTCTGATACCATTGCATGCACCACCCCTGTGCCCGCCTCCCGCACCTGATGGAAAGGGGAACGGTGGCAATGACAAGAGGCAGAAGAACGAAATAGCGAATCACATTTGAGATTTCTCAGAAGTGATTCAACACGGCTGAGAATTCTCAAAAGTCGTTTTTTTTATGGGAAGGGGAATGGTGGCGATGACATGAGACAAGAGAAGCAAAGGAGACAAAGGCAAAAAACACACGGGGGAGTCGGTGTTTAGAAAAAAAAGACGACTTTTGGGGCGCCTCAAAACACGGGGGAGTCAGTGTTTAGAAAAAAAAGATCCAATCCCATGTCTAGGCCGACGCCTGAAAATTTGTACTCACTGTGGACTCAACATCCCCCAGGAAGAGCGTGGGTGAGATGCCAAAAGCGCAGATCTGATATGCAAAGGTGATGCTGAACTGTACCCGCTATAGACAGGATACTGTACTCGCTACAAGCTTGGAAGTGCTGTACTCACTGTAGACTCAACGTCCCCCAAGAAGAGAGTGGGTGAGATGCCAAACGCACTGCCACCACCGCCTGCATCTCGCCTCCTCACCACCTTGCGGAGAATATCGAATATTCCTGTAGAGGGGACGGCACAAGGGTTTGACAATATCCATCATATGGATAAGAGGGTTAGGAAGAAGCAAGCAGGCAGGCACGGCACAAGGGCTATGGACGCGCATGTGAAGAAGTAGGATAGGGCTGTGCTGACGTCTGTCTTTACCTCTCTATACCGCATCAAAGTCACCACCGATCCATAGTTCAGTCCACATTGACCCTCTGCCTCTGGCGGTGTGGCGAGGGCGATGTGCCCCTGCGAGGCTGAATCTGATTTTTGAGGATTCTCAAAAACCAGATTCAAAAAAAGGCATCCTGAGCTGACGAGGCGGAGTCTTCAACAGAGCTGTGAACGGCTGTAGACCTCTGGTGGTGGTGGTGGTGGTGGTGGTGGTGGTGGTGGTGGTGGTGGTGGTGGTGGTGGTGGTGGTGGTGGTGGTCTATACAGCACACAAGGCAGCAGCTATAGGCTATACCCTCACTGTCTCTACCTCTGGTGGTGGCGGTGGCGAGGGCGATGTGGCCCTGTGAGGGGTCGAAGAAAGCATCCAGAGCTGACTCACCCACGGTGGCACGTCGTTCCACCCAAGGTAGCAACTCAGAGGCACAAGCGTACGGACGGTCAGTGCTTCACCGTGCATACCTCTGGTGGTGGCGGTGGCGAGGGCAATGTGGCCCTGCGAGGGGTCGAAGAAAGCATCCAGAGCTGATGAGGCGGAGTCGTCAAAGAGCGCCGTGAAGGGCTGTGGTGGGCTGTGGACCTGTGGTGGTGGTGGTGGTCTATGCAGCGCCCAAGGTGGCTTCTAGAAGCTATAACCTCACTGACCTCTGGTGGTGGCGGTGGCGAGGGCGATGTGGCCCTGCGAGGGGTCGAAGAAGGCATCCAGAGCTGATGAGGCAGAGTCGTCAAACAGAGCCGTGAAGGGCTGTGGGAGTAAGGGCAGGCCCCGTGCTATGTACACTGCTCTTAGGGCGTACCTGGTGGGGAGAGGTGGGGCGGGGAGGGTATAAGGGGATACCGGGGGGAGAAAAGGAGGTTGATTGTGAATGGCTGTGGGAGCAGCGGCAGCGCCCACGCTATGTACACTGCTCTTAGGGCGTACCTGTGTGGATTGGGGGAGGGATAGTGAGAGGTTATGTGCTATGTAAGGTTATCGTCATGTTCTTGACCGAGGTCCCACAGAGGGGATGTGTGTGAAAGAGCAGCCCGTGCAGGTGGATGGGCGTGCGCTGTGCACCGGCAAGGCACCCAAGCAGGCAGACTTACCACGAGTAGTGCCTTGTCGGCTTCGCAACCATCTGGTCGCACGACGTTGGTGCGTGTGTGAGCAGCAGCCCGTGCAGGTGGATGGGCGTGCGCTGCACTGCCGGCACTTGAATCACCGAGTGGGAGGGAGTGAAGCAGGGCCAAGAAGCCGAACTCACCAGGAGTAGTGTCGGGTCAGCTTCGCAACCATATGCTTGGAAGATGTCAGTGCATGCGTTAGCAGTAGCCCGTGCAGGTGGATGGGTGTGCGCTGCACTGCCGGCACTTGAATCACCGAGTGGGAGGGAGTGAAGCAGGACCAAGAAGCCGAACTCACCAGGAGTAGTGTCGGGTCAGCTTCGCAACCATATGCTTGGAAGATGTCAGTGCATGCGTTAGCAGTAGCCCGTGCAGGTGGATGGGTGTGCGCTGCACTGCCGGCACTTGAATCACCGAGTGGGAGGGAGTGAAGCAGGACCAAGAAGCCGAACTCACCAGGAGTAGTGTCGGGTCAGCTTCGCAACCATATGCTTGGAAGATGTCAGTGCATGCGTTAGCAGTAGCCCGTGCAGGTGGATGGGTGTGCGCTGCACTGCTGGCACTTGAATCACGGAGTGCAGAATCCCCCTCAGTGCTTCCTGTGCTGACGAGTAGTCAATGGCGCCCGGTGCACTGGGAAGGAAACTCGCCACCACCTGAGGCAAGGGGGGATGGGGGATGGGGGATAGGCAATACAGAGTGAGTTTAATCTTGCCTGGTGTGCTTCATGTGCTGACGAGTAGTCAATGGTGCCCGGAGCACTGGGGAGGAAACTCGCCACCACCTGAGGGAAGGGGGGGAGAAGGGAAGCGGGATGGGGGATAACAGAGAGTAGTAATGTGGCAGAGCCTGGAGCATTTGAATCACCAGATGCACTGTTCCCTCCAGTGCCCCCCGCGCTGACGAGTAGTCTATGGCGCCCGGTACACTGGGGAGAGAACTCGCCACCACCTGAGGGGTGAGGGATGAATTGGACACGAGACATACAATATGGAGAAGGAACCATGAGACCAAAGACGTACGATTTGTTTGTTTGTTTTTGTTTTGCCAGTGCACCACACTTGCTCACATAAGCGCACTTTGATGGGGTGGAACTCGAGGTACTGAATGTAGATGAGTGGTGCTCCAAGTCTGTCTGTCTGTCTGTCTGTCTGAGAGCGTGCTTTGCAACTTGCCTACCTCAGCACACACACCGTAGCACAGCACACATGCTCATAAGCCCATCCCACCTTGACGGGGTGGATCTCGAGGTATTCGATGTAGATGGGAGTGGTGCTCCAGTCTCGCACGGGCACGCTGGGGTCCTTGCAGCGGTAGAAGGGCACGAGGCGCAGGAGTGTGCCCTCATCTATGTTCACCTCCACTGGCTGGATGGATGGGGTGGGATGGGATGGGATGGGGTTGGGAGATGGGGTTGGGATGGGGATGGGAGCATCAAGAGGCATCACAAGCATGAAATCCTTGCAGCGGTAGAATGGCACGAGGCGCAGGAGTGTGCCCTCATCTATGTTCACCTCCACTGGCTGTTGTGGTGCGGTGGGATGGGGAGGGTTGAAGAGGGGTGGGGTGGGGTGGGATGCGATGGGCATCAGTCTCGCACGGGCACACTGGGATCCTTGCTGCGGTAGAAGGGCACGAGGCGCAGCAGCGTGCTCTCATCTATGTTCACCTCCACTGGCTGATGCGGTGGGATGCGGTGGGGTGGGGTGGGATGTGATGGAATGAGATGGTGATGTTGTTAGGCATCCATTTCCATCACGTTTTCTAGGGTTATTATAAGACTAATGTAGACATTTTCTGGGTTGAATTATGTTTAAACTAGGGTACCCTTCCGAATGATTCTGTAAAGCCTGTAGCACCTGCAGCAAGAAGGATGCGGAGCGAATGTGCTGCGGGCGGGAAGCAAGCCGATTCACCACCACTGCCATCGAACACAACGGAGCCCCCCCTCCTCCTTCCCTTCCTCCTCCCCATCCTCGCCCTCCTCCCCCTCCTCCACCTCCTCCTCCCACCCCTCCTGCCCCTCCCACGCCTTCCTTCCCCAACCGCTGATCCCTCAACGACCGGCCTATAATGGTGCCGCCAGCAGCAGCAGCGTCCGTGGAAGGGGAAGGGTTGAGGGAGCGGAGAACCACGGCAGAGGAGAGGATGGGGTGCTGTGCGGTGGTGC